CCACCTGTCTCCTCCCCTGAAAGATGGACAGGGGATGGACGGAGGTGGAAACCCTCTCCGACATGGTCTACCAGGCGGGGGTCCACGACACGGCCACCGTCACTGTGGCCATTAACAGGTGCCAGCCTGTGCGACCGAGACCCAGCACTCATACTGACAATCACACTGACAATTGCCCAAACACTCACCCTGGCACCCTAACACACTACACAAGTAACACCCGCACCCTAACACTCATACACACAAAAGTGAACACGAGTCTGTCAGTGTGTGTTTGTATGTGGGGGGTGGTAGCGCAGTGGTTAGCGCACTGCGCTACGAACCCGGCAACACGAGTTTGATTCCCGCTCATGGCCAACACCAGTGACGATTATTTGAACCGGTCCTGGGCCTCCCCTAGGTCGACTCGTCCTCAAATGTGTACCTGGTGCGGTGTGTAAACATCGCCACTAGGGAGACAAAGGCAGCTCGGCGTGGTCCTGGCCACCCACCCTTTTGTGTGTCGTCCCGGACTACACATAGGTGTTCGCTATCAGCACTTGCCCCAACAGTCTGTTAAGGCTACAGGGGAGATCTACTCGACATTTGTGAAATAGAGCTTTGTAGCTTAAGGGATTCTTTCAATATAAATAAATATTCTGATTGTCTTTACAGCGAAGGCACGGTCACTGCGGTGACGACCCTGCCCGGTGGGAACCAAATCCTCTTCTCTGGCGAAGCGGCGGCCGCCGTGGGTGCCCTTGCCCAGCACGAGGGTACAGCTCTCCCTCACTACTCGCCACTCCACACTTCCCTGGCCTGAATTCACCTTGAGCCAATCTCACGTTTACCCTGACCCACGCCCTCCGTGACCTCCCGACCCCACAGGGTCTTACCACGTGAGCTTGGCGACGGACCACCCTGCCCAGGTCTCCGTGGCATCGACGCACGGACTGGCGTGCGCCGAAGACGTGGAGGTCGTGACCCTGGGGTGATGTCGCCGTGACCTCTTCCATGCCGGAGGTACGCGAGGTCACGCAGCGGACTTGCAAACCCATGAGTTGTGAGAAGAGGGACACCTTTCACTTGATGCATGGGAACCTAGGAGGGGCAGAGAGGACCCTTTTTGGGGATGGGGGGGGGGGAATTCCTATTTCTAGGTGGACTAAACAACAACGGCAAGAAGTGAGGAACGCAAACTGTCGCTGTACGGTCGTGTCGCGACAAAACCACCAAAACAGCAATCCGACAAAAGCAATGACAATGATAGTGGAAAGAAACAGAGGGAGGACAAAGACAGGAGACTGACGGATGGAGCAGATGGAATTTGATGACGATGATCGCCCACAGTGGAGGATGGCCGCTGCCGCTACTGCTGGAAGTTGACGGACCCCAGTGTCCCTGCGGAGGGGCTGGACAGGAAAAGGAAAGAAGACAGATGTTTTGGGGTTGGGGGAGGAGAGAGAGGAAGGTTGGTTGCAAGTAAAAATTCACCAAAAAGTTTAACAGAATCAATCAGAACGCCCGCGCCGCGGTACACGCATCCAGTTGTGGTCGTCGTCTGTGATCGATCCACGACTGGCTGAAGACATCCCCAAGTTGCTGCCACCTCTTGTGATCCTGCAATGCAACGATCCATTGAGCACCCGCACATGAACCAATCTCATTGCTGCATCTCCTCCCTGGGAGTCCTTTCGGATGCGCTCCATTCCTTGGCTCCCACTCCATTCCTGTATAAACACATAGTAGGCTTTCGTGCCCAATTATTATTCACGATAAAGTAGTTTTTTTGGGTTAGATCGCATAAATGTAAAAGTGTCGTACACCTGCCTCCACTCGACGCAGTTAATTAGTACGGATTGGAACGAGCACAACATGCAAATTAGTTACAACCTCAGGACCCGCCAGTAGTGTGTTGGCGAGCAAACCCACAACATTACAATTGACCATTTTTACGTTTTGTTGGTGATTACAATCAGCATCGTCAGGTTATTGCCAGAATGCTCAATAAGTCTTCCTATTTTGGGTCTTAATTAGAGTAAAGTGATGGCATTCATTGTAAATGTTGCGGGTTTTCTCTTTAACACACTTATGTGCTGGGACGTTTTGTTCACGTGACAAACCTTACTCATTGGCTGTCATGTGGAGGTGTGTCTACGACACATTGACACAATCTAACCGAAAACAATATTTGTCGTGACCTTTACACTTCTTGACCGCATCAAGTTTTGTGTGCGACGATCGTTTTTTTTAGGGTCCATGAAAATTGTACGCCAGCTTTGTGCAGAGGCTTTCATTCAGCAGCGGCACACCACATGTAGAGTATACTTTGCTGTAGCTATGACAATAGTCTCGTGTCTTGCTGGCACTCCATTCGTATTGCGAGAACCGGAATCTCTTGCAGCCCAGGAGTCGGCGAATGCTTTGAATCCTTTGCACATTGGAGGAGAGGGGGGCGAGTTGGCAGTGGGGGCTATATGGCTCATGGATGCTTCAACTCTTGGGATGCAGTCAAATATCTTCACGCGCTGAGGGTGCAGGGTCTCCCTTTGTGCGTGTTTTGTTTATTACTAATGATGCGCGTGTGTGTGTGCTGTACAAAATGAGCGTTATTCTATATTATACATGATGTTAATTTTGTGATATAATAAAGACCGTTTATATCCGTGTGTGCAGTGTGCTTTCAATGCATGGAAATGGGACACGGGCCAGCGGAAGTGTCGTATTTACCAGAGGTGGGACAAAGTCATTGTTATGCAAGTCCAAGTCGAGTCTGAAGTCATCAAATTCATGACTCGAGTCTGACTCGAGTCCAAGTCACATGACTCGAGTCCACACCTCTGGTATTTACCGATTGTTGCTGAGGTTAGCAGTTGTATGAAAAGCAAATTGAAATTACAGTGATCCCTCGTTTATCGCGGTTAATGGGGACCGGAACCCCTCGCGATAGGTGAAAATCCGCGAAATAGGATTGGCCCCCTAGGAATTTCCGTATATGTGTGTGTGGGTACCAGAATGTTTAAAATATGTACATTTATACTTTACATATATATATTTTACTTAAATCTATTTAATTATAAAACCTTAATATTATACATTTACTCTCTCATACGATACGTATTATGGTGTTCTACACTCACCAATGACAGTAGTATCTTGAGACTTGACTCCAGTAATGACGACGATGACAATGACGACGATGACAGACCTGGGCAGTTCGATGAATGTGATGATGATGATGGTGTTACTGCACAACACTAAGATACGCGAGACACAGTTGACAGCGTGAACGAGAGTGGCGAGATACAACAAGGGAAGAAGCTGGGAGAGGATGCGATGATGCGCAGCCAATCAGCTCACGGGATACATCCACTCGTGCTCTCATTCGTCGATCTCGCGCCGGGAACCAATCACGTGCCTTGTCTGAGTGCCCGTGGGTATGTACAAAGCCTCTGAGAGAGTTTCTCTCTTTGTCTGGCATCCTGGGAAACCGTTTCTCTCGCGCATCACGATGAAACGCTGCTTTCCGCAATACGGCTGCCGATATGGCGGTATTTTTGAATTTTTATTTTTGGATGAATATTTTTGAAAAATCTACGATGCACTGAGGCCGCGAAACTTGAACCGCGAAGTGGCGAGGGATTACTATATTTGTATTTTACCAAGTAAGGCCCATTGAGCTGTATAGCTCCTTTTTTCAAACACTTATTGAGTGTGCCGTGTTGTCATTATATTCTTTGGAATCTTTAACGCTTAATGTCTTCAGATCTTCGAAGCCTAACGAGCTGACATTACGCAGCCTCGACTCGCGTGACAATTCAAGATTTAATTTTTAAACCGGTCCAGGTCTCGCCCATCATGGTCCTATTCGTGTTTTAACTAAATCTTACTAAATAATGATCTTGACTTAAAGCTTTCATGACTGCAGGAATTCATATTCTTTGGGTCTTTCGGTGAAGCCACGTAGATAGACGTTTCAATCGCAACACGAGCAATCGTCATCAGGTGAAAACAATATCGAGCGGGAGAGCTGCTGAAGCAGGTTGTTACATAGGTTTGAGATGGGTTTAGCCCAAGGGGAAGTGGGTGGGGCTAGAGATGGAATTTGCACGTAAATGTAAGATCGGAGAGCTGATCTACCTCCACGAGGACGCAGCTGTGGAGGTGGCCATTGCATCGAGAGAGATGAGCATGTCAATGTGAGGGAACCACCGCAACGGTGGCTGTGCTTGTGAGACATCCAGCTCGTTAATAAACGAGGGACACCGCCCCACCCACTTACCCTATCTACGTGGCTTTACCGAAAGACCCAAAGAACATAAATAATGATTGTACACTTTACCCCCCCCCCTCCCCACCTACGTGGGCCAACGTCTGGTCCAATGACAGCGGCTGTTGCTGGCAGCCTATGGCCAATGGGAGGGGCGCTTCTTCTATGGCCGCTCGTCATGGCGCCTGAGCGGCCGCTGTGCTCCCCTCTTGTTCCTCGGTGCGAGAGTGACAAGTGCACTGCAAACTATTATGACATTGACTTAAGCTTTTGTGACTGCAGGAATTCATGCTCTTTGGGTCTTTCGCTAAAGTCACGAAGATAGAATTTTTTTATGTTTCTATCTGTGACTTTACCGAAAGACCCAAAGAGTATTATGAGGTAATAAAAACCGAGATTTTTCAATGTACACACTTTTATTTTCACTCAAAAGTATTAAAGAAATTACATTGACCCCCGGAATTAATCAAATTTGATGTGCTCAATAAAAGTGTAAGCTCGCATCAAAGACAATTAAACATATCGAAAGGAAGCCGCCTACTTTTATTGAGCACGTCAAATTCGATTAATTCCGGGGTCAAACAAATTTGTTATCTACTATTGAATGCAAAAAAAGTGTGTGCATTGAAAAGCCTGGTTTTTATTACCGATTGATTTAGCAGTGGGGACGAGGGGCGGGGCTTTGCAGTGGCGGGCGGGGGCTTGTAGTGAAGGGGCGGGGCTTGTAGTGAAGGGGCGGGGCTTGTAGTGATGGGCGGGGCTTGCAACGAGGGGCGGAGCTCGTGGTAAACGGGGCGGGGCTTGAAAGCCCAGGCGACAATGGCGGGCCAGTTCGATCCCGTGCAGCGCGAGATCCACCAGGACTGGGCGAATCGCGAGTACATCGAAGTGATCTCCAGCAGCATCAAAAAGATCGCCGACTTCCTCAACTCGTTCGGTGCGAGAATGCGCGAAGCCCCCGACCCGTCAACCCCCCGCCCTCTTTCCCTCATCCTCCGCCGTTTACATTCCCCAGCGCGCTCGCGCGCGCGCTCCGTTACGAGGGTCGCCGTTGGTCAGGCGAGATCACGTGATGCTGCTTTTGGCCAATGGGAATCGCCAACACGGCCGGGGATATTTATCCGGCGTAAGAAATCGACTTCCCCCTTTGTGTGTTTACAGTCGTGGTAGAGTTACCCCTTCGGTGATGGCACTGTGAGACGTTACCCTGTGATCTGTGATGTCATGTGATCTGTGATGTTACTCTGTGATCTATGATGGCGCTGTGATGTTACTGTGTTTCTGTGATGGCGCTATGGAGGGATGGAACACGTCCGAGAGCACGGCCACCAAGGAGATGGAGCGATGAGATCCACACGTAGCCAACAAGTGATGGGCAGATTGTTGTATCGCAGGATCGTAAGAGTTGGCGGCAACTTGGGGAAGCCTTCATCCAGCAGTGGATCGATCATGGCTGATGATGGTGTTGCTGTGGTGTCTTGAAAATACCGAATCCTAACCCACTTTGCCTTTGATGTTGTCTCTGCTGCTGCTGGCATCATCTCTGCTGCTGCTGGCATCATCTCTGCTGCTGCTGCCGTCACTCCCACCGGCTGCTGGTGCGCGGCGCAGACATGTCGTGCCGTGCCCGCCTCGCCGTGCTGAACGAGAAGTTGACGTCACTCGAGCGACGCGTGGAGTACATCGAGGCTCGGGTAAGAGGAGGAGTGGTGGGGGGGTGACCAGAGCGGTGGGGGGAGGCAGGGCGGTGAGACACACACACACATCATGGGCCCTTCAAGCATAGCATCCTCCCACGGTTCCACACATCATCGCGATAATTCAGAGTAACAACTCAAGTCATGGGTTGATTGTTTTTTTGTGTCATTTGTAGAGACTCGATTTTGTTGTTTTGTTAATGGTCTATCTCATATTACACTGTCCTATTTGGGTTGTCTTATTATATTTTAATAATTTTCTGTGAGGAGGGGAGACTGAGTGAGTGGAGATGGAGAAAGTGGAGACACATATAAGGGAGACACATGGGTGAGACACAAAGGATATGCAAAATATGAGACGCAGGAAGACACGCGGGAGAGGCACTGATGAGAGACACAAAGAGGGGAGATGCCATGCCTCCGTTCCCCACCCACATGGAAGGTCGCAAGAAAATACCTTTGCCAAATATAACCACGCTGATTTGTCTTCGTCTCGCCGCAGGTGACCAAGGGGGAGACGTTGACTTAGCAGACCTTCACCACGTGTCACCCTCGCCACACCGATCCTCACCGTCCCATCTGCCCTCTGCGGCGGTGCCCCTCCTTCTTCCTCCGTGTCCGTTTCCTCCCCCACCACGCCGATAACACTACTACTCACCACTACCCACCACTACCCACCACTACCCACCACTAACCACCACTGCTCACCGCTCGCTGTCCCTTCACCATTGCCTTAAACGCAAAGCCTTGTCTGCAGGCCGGGAGCATGTCCACGTCCGCCATGGCACGCACCGCGGGTCTCTTTGGGCGCCAGTCATCAATTTCGATGTCGCTCCTTAAAGCTCACTATGCGCGCCTCGACTCGCGGTTTTAAGGAATCGCACGTTTGACATGCGTGTATGTTGCACGCAATGGGTTTGTGTGACCCCTGCAGCCACAAGAGGCCAGTACATTCACTATAGTGTAAACAAACTAATTATGGTTGATTCAGATGTATTCTCTGAATCCTGAGGACTTGTCGGATTGCAGGGCGGTGAACTTTTACACCCCGAGCACGTCTCGGTGTTGTGGCCCATTGCTCCCGCTGGTGTCACCCTGGGGGCCTGTCGTGACACACAGAGGGGCCACCTGTTGTTGGGTTTGACTGCGTCCGGTGCCTGATGTGGCGATTTTTGTACATTGAGCGTTTGTTATTTTTATTCCACTGCCTTCCCATGTTGGGTTCCAACGGCGCTGCCACGTCACCATGAGACGAACAGATCTTCGTTTCTAAATGTTCCAGCGAGCAGCGCACCACCTTGTGTCACAACGACCCTGGAAGTTGACGTCACAGATGACTTATTAATACAAACTTCAGCTGCATTTATTTTTCAATACGCCGTGCAATGAGTGTTCCGTCAAACCTGTCAGAGCCTGGATTTTGCCAAATTTAGTTGAAAACTCCCAATTTGTATTTGGTTTCTTGTGAAGTCATTGGTGACCAGGCCAAGACAGTCAAGTCACTGCTCACTACTGTGTGCGAGTTCCCCTTCCAAATACGTGTTTTTTTTATAACATTGTAAACTTTCTTTGCGTGTGAGTTTATATCTGTGCTTTTTTTTTTATTACCAAGACAAAACCACTAACCCCTACCCCGAGGGTACAAATACAATGTGGAGACCAAATGTTCACTGTGGGGAACATATATCCAATTACATCAGCTCGATGTGTCTGACAAAGCCATTGCGAACCACCCTCCGATCCACCCGGCCACGTTAATTGCCCGTGGCGCACGTGAGTCCGTGTCGGGTTTTCTTTGCCCGTGGCGCAGTGTGGGGATGACGGGGAGGGCTTTGCCGAGGGCAGCATTTAAATGTTAACTTTGCGTTCGAAATTATTGACAAAAATAGTCGACCGTCTATGAAAGGATCCGCGATATCGGTTCATCCGTACCACAGTGGATAAGAGTTGTGTAAAACACGCCTACTCGATTGGCACCAGCCGGGAGCAACGCCACCTATTCCCCCTCCGCCCCCTTTGCCCCTACGCTCGTCACCGCGTGTTCTCAATTAAGGTGCCCCACCCCCCCCCCCCCCCCCCGTGTCACGAATAAACGTCGCATCCTTGACCCTGTGTTCGTGCCCCTCTGTCCTCGTGGTGATGATGGCTGTGTGCAGGCTGGTGAGCTGCCTGTTATTGTATAGAATATAAGCAACATTCATAAACAGACAACCTCCTTCACATTCTCTTTGGTTCTATCGGTAAAGTCACGTAGGTATAAAATACAAATAAATCACGACGTTTCGGGCGCAACACAAGCGTCCGTCATCAGGTGGGAAAGCATGGTCTGCTGCTGAGGCTGCTGTTTTAAAAGGTTTGAAATGAGTGTAGCCCAAGGGTCATTAAGAAGTGGCCGGGGCTAGTGATGTTAATGTGAGAAATTAGCATAAGATAGGAAAGCGGCCTCTGAGACGAGGACACGGAAGTAGCTATGTGAATGTGAGAGATTAGCATGATGTTAACGTGAGAAATTAGCATGTAACGAGAAAAGGAGGGTGAGCATGAGAGATCTAAGAGAGAGACAGAGAGAGTTGGAAATAACAGCTGACCATGGGCAGGTAGGATGGAAACATCACAGTCAGTTAATACTTTACCTGGTTAATAACGTCCTTCCAATGATTGTTCAGTTTGTACCCATCCTCTTGGTTGAAGTGTCTGTGTTTATATATCTGGATGGCTTCATGAACAAATCTCTGAAGGTAGCCGGCAGGTTTACAGAGTACCTCCGTCTTGGAAAAATCAATTTCGTGTGAGCCCACAGTGTTAAAACAATGATCAGCAAAGGCAGAGGTATTGGTCCTGCCGTGTTTCAGATCTGCCTTGTGTTCACGAACACAGTCCGAGACATGTCGTTTCGTTTCCCCAATGTAACTGCTGCCGCAACCACAACTAGTTTGTAGACACCAGAGTATTGCATGTCAGAAATCACATTCTTTACAGATGGGATTAAATCACGGATTTTGTGTACTGTGTTGAAACGAACCTGGATCTTGTTTGTTAAAGATTTTGGAAATCTTTTTGGTAACCCCTGCTATGTACGGTAAAGTGGTTGGTTTTGATTGGATCCTCAGAAGGTTGTCTCCGCATGACTGGGGAGACAGCTTTGCGGATTGTACGGTCCGAGTATCCGTTCATCCTGAGGGCTTTGTGTATGTGCTCCAACTCACCGGCTAGGTGGTGCTGGTGGGAGATGCAACGGGCCCTATGGTGTAGTGTTTTGATGAGGGGATTCTTCTGGGCTGGATGGTGGTGGTAGTCAGGCTTTAGATAGGCATCCGTGTGGGTGGCTTTCCTGTAGACCGAATGTCCCAACGAGCCATCAGGTCTCTTCTCGATAAACACATCCAAAAATGGTAGCTTGCCATCCTTTTCCACTTCCATGGTGAATTTGATAGACGGGTGTATGGAATTGATGTGGTTGAGAAATTGGTTCAGTGCTGGCAGGTCATGTGGCCAGATGACGAACGTGTCATCTACATATCTCTTCCACAAGGAAGGACGTAGGGTGGATGTCTGGATGGCATCTGTCTCAAATTTCTCCATGAAAACATTCGCTACCACTGGCAATACGGGAGAACCCATTGGGGTACCCTCATTTTGTTTGTAGAATGTACCATTCCAGGTGAAGTATGTGTTGGCAAGACCGTGCCTTACCAAAGTTGGTACATCTGGATTCAGTCCTTGTTGGACCAAGTCTCTAATGATTGCAATGGTGTCAAGTACAGGTACATTGGTGAACAGAGAGACTACATCGAAACTGACAAGCAAATCATCCGGAGACAGTGATATGTCCTTGATTAGAGAAACCAAGTGAGCTGAGTTAAGTACAGCTGAGGTGGACTTGCCCGTGAAAGGAAGCAGGATCTGACAGAAATCGGGTATTTGTCACGCCATGTAAAAAAAAGTTTTTCCACATCCAATCAGCCCTCACGGGCCTCTGGGAGTGCATACATTCAGCACCATTGGTTCAACACAAGCAAAACACTTGGTTTTGACTCGGAGATCAAGGGTCTTTGCCTATACACATCTGGCAGCTAAGCATTATTTCAAGCGAGATTGTGCTGATGAGACTGTCGAAACTAGACCTTACGAATAGAAATCTGGCCGTTCGCCAGCTGTGGTTCAAGCGATCCTGACTGCTGCTGCTGATAAGACGCTCAATGTCAGGTTCGCTCAGCTGTGATCTTCGTGACGTCATGTGGCAGCGTCCAGGAATCTCTCGGGGGAAGGGGTTGGGGGGGGGGATTGTTTAATGACGTCATGAGTAAAGGGTTTTTTGGGGACGTCGCCGGGGGCTTTGCCCCCTTCGTCGTGGGTGTGTCGTGACGTCACGCAGCTGTACCGCTATCGTAGACAGTGGGGGGCGGTGACGCAGCAGCAGTCAGCGCGCTCCGCTACAAACCCCGCGGCCCGCCCAAGTTCGATTCCCCCTCACGGCCAATAACGGCGAATATTTGAACCGGTCCTGGGCCTCCCCTAGGTCAATTCGGCCTCAAATGCGTACCTGGTACGATGTGTAAACATCGCCACTTGGAAGACAGAGGCGGCCGGGCGTGGTGCTGGCCACCCACCACCCTCGTGTACCGTCCCAGTCATCATAGTCCGTGAAGGCTGTCATGAGGATCTTGTCTTCGTAACACTATCTCGGCCCTATAGGGACAACCCCAACACGTTCGTCGATAACGCTGTGTGTGGAGTGTGGACTTCATAGAACAATCAGCAATGGGTGTCGCAGGGCAATGGCTCTTATTCAGCGCACATGATGTACACAATACGGTGCTTGTGCTACGAATGGCCACCCTTATTGACGAATGTGTCGAGTTTCTTGTTTGTTAATTGCACAATCGCACATTGTAAATTAAGTTTTACAGTTATGAAATTATAATTATTTGTAAATAGTATATATGTCGTTTGTCTAGTAATTGTGATTTTTAAACATTGTATTGCTCGTTTAAATGTTAGTAACAATTAGCCTGTGCACTCCTGCCTGAGTGAAAAGTGGACTAAGTTTTGTCCAATCCTGTCCAGCTGGCTCAAGAAAAACGTTAATAAGTTAATTTAATTAACAATTACAGCTTTCCCACCTGATGACGGACGCTTGTGTTGCGCCCGAAACGTCGTGATTTATTTTATTTTATACCCACGTGACTTTACCGAAAGATGTGTGTTGGAGAGTAAAACCCACAAAATGTACAAACCTTACGAATTGGCTGTGGCGGGTTTCACAACACATTTATACTTACGCGATCTCACCCAGAAAAACCCTCCATTATGGATATTGGTCGCGAAACCCCAACAACGACGACTAACGACTGCGACTTGTTAAAGTGCCGTGAGCACGTTGAGAGTGGGGGGGCGCGTCCCCCACGCTAGGGGGCGTGGCTCCGGTGTGACGTCACCAGGAGGCGTGGTCTCGGCGCGCTGTGGGCGGGGCTCGCTCCCCCACCCGAGTCGCTTCCTTTCCGGGGTGCCCCCCCTCGTCGAGACGCTGCAGCGACGGCGGCGGTCCCCGTGGTACCCCCGAGACCCCGTTACCCCCATTACCCCCGCTACCCCCATTACCCCGCTACCCCCCGCCCACCCCGCGTCACATCGCCTCCCGCGGGCCCCCCTTCACTCCTCCACTCGGCCCCCCTCTCGCGCACACCCCGTCATTCATTTCGCCGACCCGAGCCGCGAGCCAACGATCCCCGCCGCGACCTCGTCTCCTTGGCCGGCCGGAAGTGAGCTGCGGGCGGGCAGAGGCGGCGATCCGAGCGCCGTGGCGAGGGGGCCATGGCGGTGTGAGTGGGTCGGGGGGGGGGAGCCATGGGCGAGCAAGCGGGAGGCGGCCGCTACGAGGAAGTGCGGGACCTCATCGACTACTTCTCCAAGAACACGTACCGCGCGCGCGAGGGCGTGGGCAAGGCGAGTTGCGTGACCCGCTCCCCGGCCGCCTTTGTCTCTCTCGCTCGCTCGCTCGCTCGCCCTCCCTCGCGACAGCCGAGTCCGTCCGCCGTTTAATCGATCTCGGCACGCCAGCACCTCGTTTGTCTCCCCCCCCCGCAACCAACAATCTCTCTCTCCCAGTTCTCTCTGAGGCCGTGGGCCGGAGTTGAACCCCGTGGACTTTGCCCCGCGCCACTGCGCCGCGTTCAGGCGCCATCCACGCGCCCTGCCAGACTCACTCCACTGCTGGAGCGAACGCCTCTGGCCCCCAACTCTGTCGTCGTGTCACGGGGTTTGGCGTCTGGTTTGTTTAACTTCTTTGCTGCCTGTGAAACCGGAGCCCCTCACTTCGGCAGGTAGGAGGAGGGAGGCGTCGATGAGTGAAGCTCACGCGAACCGCTTCCACGTTTTGGCCATACTTCACCACGCGGGTGTCTGTACCGCACACGAACCACTATGTATCATCCACGTGTCCATTATGCCATGTGTTTTGGTTATTTAACACGCTTCGGCGAGTTGATTTACGATGAAATCGTTACGAAATCTCTCGTGAAATGTAACATACCCACGGATTGTAAACGTGGTTATTGGCAAAAGAAAATTAAACGAAGCTAAGAAGTGCGCCAAAAAACAGGTCACGGTGGAAAGGTTGGACGCTTGGATCGAACCCCAAGATATAGAAAGATGAACACCGATTGGAGAAGCTTCGCCACGCGACGAACCATGCAAGTTGTGGGCCTTGGGGCAGCGCTCCTCAAGGCTGGACGGGTGATGGTCGAGACTCACGGCGGACGGCAGTCAAAGGAGATGAGAACTTCCAACGGGACACCGTTCGTCGTGCATCACGGACCGATGAAATATGCCCTTCCGTCGGCGCCAGTTTGCATTGCTGCATCACACGGCCGTGAGAGATGGTGACAACTTGGAGAGAGGCCTTCATCCAGCAGTGGATATATCGTGGCTGCTGTTTGGTTACGGTTATGCAGGAGTTTAACATTTAACAAGGAGGGCAGTATGACAGGTTAGGGTTATTGGGAGAAGGGGAAAGAACAATAAAAAATATTATTTTACCAGGTAGGGCCCACTGACCTAAAAGCTCTTTTTAAACAGAGACCTGGCCACAAATGACAGCTCAACGCAATGGCTGATCAGCCAAAGACTCAGCCAAAAGCACGCGATGTTTCTAAATATGGAGGAAAAAACCAGAGGGCCGGGAGAAAAATCCACCCGACCACAGGGAGAGAGACATGCAAATTCCAAATAAACAGGTATCGTCACGGTCGGGATCTAACCCACGACCTCCTGTATACCAGGCGAGGGAGTTAACATCTCACCACCGTGGCTGGCCCTAATCCATAGATGACCAAATCGGTGTCCGCTCCCAAGATCCGAGGTTAACACCACAGTTCACAGTGCAGTAGAGATAACGAGACCAGCTGTCATCGGCATCAGCCATGATCAATCCACTGGTCGATGCGATGCAACAGTCTGGCACCTGCACACGAGCTGATCCCATCGCTGAGTCTCCTCGGTGGACGTCCTGTCGGGTGCGTTTTCTCCTTTGGCTGCCTCCCCCTGCGTTGGCCTCAGCCGCCAGGTATCTTCCCCTCTGGCCATGGCGCGTCAGGCCCAAGCCCACTTCACTTTTATCCATAGTCAAAATGTGATGTCTCTGATTTGCATTATGTTCTCTAATTCTTGTGTTCCTCTTTCTGTCACTTTGTGTCATTCAAAGAATAGTAAATTCACACGAAATGATACATTCCTTGGACGAGCAAGGCATTCCACGAATCGCCCTGGTCTGTGCTAGTCTGTGGGTCTCTCTCCGAGTCTGAGAATCTGGAGCTCAACTGGTGACCGGGCTTGGACAATGAAAATCACTGCACTTGAGCTCAGCTTTGTCAAAACCTCCGATTAGCACGGTTGGCTACGTATGGTGCGATAGAAGTTCAGGACACATACATACAACTCAGTCTAGCTATGTGTCGTGGTAATTGGCCACTATCCACTGCTGGATGAAGACATACTGGATATCTGTGAAAAAATAGCTTTATAGCTCATTTAATTTCTCCAGTTTCAATGAATATGATTCTGAATTTGTCCCCATCTCTCACGGCCCTACAATTCAACAATCCAAATTGGCGCCCGCACGCGAGTAGATTTCAACGCAAATGACTCAATTGGGATTTCATGTGGCAATCATCGCCCCCTTTCTGCGTAAATTTGGCCGGACACTAAGGAAAAAATACAGTCGTCATACTTAGTGAGGCTTTCCTAGAGTATGCAAGAATAATAATCATAAATGTACGTCTATAGGTCTCTACGGGAGTCTTTGGATCTCTGTGCAAGTCTCTGGGCTTCTCTTACCGAAGGGTGATGGCACGCGCATGCTTGTAATCCAGCTCTATGGAGTCGAGGGTCTGTGGATCGCACAAATGGCGTGAAGTTCCCCTTCCCGTGGACATCGAAGCACCACAACCCTGGCTTTGTAAGAGAAGGTAGCACATAAAATGTGGACTCTGCCTGTGTCCAGTTGCATAGGATGGAGCAATTCCCCCCTGGAATGTGTGGGGCTTTCTCCAGGTACTCCGGTACCCCCCCTTCCCCACAGGAAAGCACAAGGCAATTTGGCACAGGCTCGTCGCATGGCTGCCTCTGCACTTGTCTGTGGGTCCCCCCGCACCTCCTGGTGGTTCTCTCTGTTGGGGAGAGCGAGTGAATGCTGCGGTGACCCGTTAGGAGTTGGAACTGTGATTGTTGCTGTTGACGCGAGTTTAAATTTCTACGCGAGTCCATGGTCTCTACTACGCAAGTCACCGGTGGCGAGGGGGGGCTCTTATGTCTTTCTTGACCAGCCTGAGATTTTCAACTCCACTCACTGGGGAACCCATTTTTAATCAAAGGGTTGGGCAGTTGAAATGTGACACCCCTCCCCCCAACTTTGGACCCTGGATCTTATCAGCTCTGGCTCAGCATCTCTGGGCACCGGAGCCCCCCTTCGAGTTTAGCACGTGACCTCACCGTTTGGGAATGTTTGAGGGGGGTGTGGTGGGTGGGGGGGAGACCCGGAAAAACAACAAAACCTCCGCCCCCCACTCTAGCAAATCGAGTCGCCGTATTTTATTTTAGCCAGAGGCTCGCTCTGGTCAAGGGAAAGCTGTGGAGGTCTAGTGCAGTCTTGGTCTGTGGATTTCATATGATCAGCTGAGCCAATCGGTGAACGTATATTGTGCAGCCAATTACCATTGCCGGTCTTCCTCAATGCAAACACGTGTTGAATGACCACATTGCAGGTCACGCACAACTCGCCTACGCACTCACACACTCACTCACCCACTCAACTACCACACTGCAGATCACTACAACACTCTCACTCATCCGCTCACTCGCTCGCCACCCTGCAGGTCAGTGCACGTCTTTTTCTGTTTATTACACTCGCACCGCTCTGCTTTGAATTCCCTCTCCTATCGTCTCTCTTCCCAAATTCTTACATCCTCGTTCAGTTTAAATAATGCGAGTTTAAATCCAATCATCCCTCCCTCTGGGTTTGATAAAACGAGTACCACTTTGTGGGGAAGTCAACAGCGGTTGACCTTTGGATATACACATCTCCACCATAGAAATGTGGAATTTCCATCACCGGCTCTGAGCTGTAAACGGTAGACAAGCACCATAACTCAATTTGACTTTCGTCGGGGAACATGTACACTGGGAGGGCAGGGGGGAATATAGACGGTGCAGTGAGCACGAGTTCACGACGGGCGGCCGTGGCGGTGTGCAGGTCGACGAGATCCAGGTGCGCTGCCTGGAGTTGTTCTCGCGCGACTACGTCTGCGCCTGGCTGGAGAATGCAGGCGGCGAGCTGTGCGGCCACTACCCGCTGCACGTTGCGCTGCTCGAGTACGAGACGCACGCCGGGCGCCACAACGAGCGGTGAGCGCCTGGGCGAGGTCGCGTGGAGGTCTTGGCCAGGTCACGGGGTCGCGTTAATCCCCACCCCCCTTGCCGGGGTCCGATTTCCCCTAATTCCTGGGACCCTATTCTCGGCGTCACCGGCCGCCGGCTGGGTTCCTGAGAGCCGCGTTCCTCCCCGTGGCTCGGCTCCAGCTCGGGCTCGAGTCGCTCGGTTGCTTCCGACGACGGGGGCCGTCGAGCAGCTCGGCTGTGGCCTGCCCGTGGCTCGGCTCGTGCTCGTCTCGCGTAGATCCCGAGTGCACGGCTAGGCGCCACGCTTGGAGCCGGCTTCAGGTAACCGCGTGGCCTTGAGCCGGGTTTCCAGAGCCCAGCCTGAGAGGAGCCGTGACCCAACACGGGGCGATCGTCTCTTCAAGTCAAAATCTCATCAACACTTGGCTCGTAAACCACATGTACTGCGACTACCTTTGTGCCTGGGTCTCTGTTGCCTACATCGCCTAAACCCTGTGTCTTCAGCGCGGTGTTGTGTGGTTGTGGTGCTGCAGTGTGGGTGTGGTGTAGTGTGGTGCTGCAGTGTGGTGCTGCATTGTGGTTGTGGTGTAGTGTGGTGTTGTTGTGGTGTAGTGTGGTGTGGTTGTGGTGCAGTGTGGTGCTGCAGTGTGGTTGTGGTGGTGTGTGGTGCTGCAGTGTGGTTGTGGTGGTGTGTGGTGCTGCAGTGTGGTTGTGATGTAGTGTAGTGTGGTTGTGGTGTAGTGTGGTGCTGTGGTTGTGGTGTAGTGTGGTGCTGCAGTATGGTGGTGGTGTAGTGTGGTTCTGTGGTTGTGGTGTAGTGTGGTGCTGCAGTGTGGTTGTGGTGTAGTATGGTGTTGTTGTGGTGTAGTGTGGTGTGGTTGTGGTGTAGTTTGGTGCTGCGGTTGTGGTGTAGTGTGGTGCTGCAGTGTGGTGGTGGTGTAGTGTGGTTCTGCGGTTGTGGTGTGGTGCTGCAGTGTGGTTGTGGTGTAGTATGGTGTTATTGTGGTGTAGTGTGGTGTGGTTGTGGTGCATGGTGGTGCTGCAAATGTGGTGGTTGTGGTGTAGTGTGGTGTGGTTGTGATGTAGTGTGGTGCTGCGGTGGTGGTGTAGTGTGGTTCTGCAGTGTGGTGGTGGTGGTGTAGTGTGGTTCTGCGGTTGTGGTGTAGTGTGGTGCTGCAGTGTGGTTGTGGTGTAGTGTGGTGTTGCATTGTGGTTGTGTGGTTGCGCAGCTTTGAGAGCGTGCTGGAGGTGCAGCGCCTGCGGGAGCTCGTGACGAAGAGCAAGATGGCGCGGTGCCGCGGCCGCTTCGTGTGCCCTGTCATCCTCTACGGCGGCAAGGTGAGGCTGGGGCGGTGAAGGCGAGGCTTCGGTGGTGAGGGTGAGGTCACCATGGTGAGGGTGAGACTGGGGCGGTGAGATCACCATGGTGAGGGTGGAGTGGTGAAGCCGAAACAGTCATGTCGCGGCAGTGAGGCCAGGGCGGTGATCGACACGCTGAGGCTTGTGAGACTAACGCAGTGAGGTTGATGCCGGGAGATAGGATTGATGATGTTGAAAAAAAAATGTGTGTCTCTATTTTTGTTTCCACGTGTCAGTGAACCCACGTGTCGGTATACCCACGTGTTCACAGCACATTTGCCGATCCTCTACACTTGCCGGGTGGGGCGAGATCTACGGACGCAGCAGCTACAACTACCTCTTCTCTACGGGGGGCGTCGACGACGGCGGTGGCGGCGGCGGAGGGGGAGGGGTGGACGGAGACGGGGGAGGGGGCGGCGTAGGGAGCAACGACGAAGCCTGGCTCAGGTGCTGGCCACCCACCACCCCCTCGTGCGCCGTGCCGTCCTTCGTTGGTGCTGCCCGCTCGCAGCCCTCGCCAACCGACAGTCTGTCAAGGACTTCACGGGGGACCTTTGTCTTTGTAGGAATGGCCGGGAGTCCCAGCTGTTTAACCGCATCCGGGGAAACGACATCAAGCTGCTCAAGCACCTGGGAGTGCGCTTCATCTGCGACTTAATGGTGGAGAACAAGAAGGTGAAGTTCGGCATGAAGTGAGTCGCCCCTCGCTCGCCCTCGCGCACTCACCCTCGCCAACGCACACTCACTCTTACCCACGCACACTCACCCACGCACCCTCACCCTCGCCAGCGCACACTCACCCTCGCCAGCGCACACTCACCCTCGCCAGCGCACACTCACCCTCGCCAGCGCACACTCACCCTCACCAACTCACCCTCGCCAACTCACCCTCGCCAACGCACACTCACCCTCACCAACGCACACTCACCCATGCACACTCACCCTAACCAACGCACACTCACCAACGCCAATGCACACTCACCCTCGCACCCTAACCCTTGCCAACACACACTCACCCTCACCCACGCACACTCACCCTCGCCAGCGCACACTCACCCTCACCAACGTGCACTCACCCACGCACACTCACCCTCGCCAACGCACACTCACCCTCACCAACGCACCCTCACCAACGCACCCTCACCAACACACCCTCGCCAACGCGCCCTCGCCAACGCACACTCACCCTCGCCAACGCACACTCACCCATGCACACTCACCAACGCACACTCACCAACACCAACGCACCCTCACCCTCGCACCCTAACCCTTGCCAACGCACACTCACCCTCACCAACGCAACCTCGCCAACGCACACTCACCCTCACCAATGCCAACGCACACTCACCCTCGCACCCTCACCAACGCACCCTCACCAACACACCCTCACCCTCACCAACGCACCCTCACCAATGCCAACGCACACTCACCCTCGCACACTCACCCTCACCAACGCACTCACCCTCACCAACGCACCAACGCCAACGCACACTCACCCTCGCACCCTCACCCACGCACACTCACCCTCGCACCCTCGCCAATGCACCCTCGCCAACGCACACTCACCCTGGCCAACGCACCTTCACCCTCGCCAACGCACACTCACCCTCGCCAACGCACACTCACCCTCACCAACGCACACTCACCCTGGCCAGCGCACCTTCACCCTCGCCAACGCACACTCACCCTCGCCAACGCACACTCACCCTCGCCAACGCACCTTCACCCTCGCCAACGCACACTCACCCTGGCCAACGCACCTTCACCCTCACCAACGCACACTCACCCTGGCCAACGCACACTCACCCTCGCCAACGCACCTTCACCCTCACCAACGCACACTCACCCTGGCCAACGCACCTTCACCCTCGCCAACGCACACTCACCCTCGCCAACGCACCTTCACCCTCACCAACGCACACTCACCCTCGCCAACGCACCTTCACCCTCGCCAACGCACACTCACCCTCGCCAACGCACACTCACCCTGGCCAACGCACCTTCACCCTCGCCAACGCACACTCACCCTCGCCAACGCACACTCACCCTCGCCAACGCACCTTCACCCTCACCAACGCACCTTCACCCTCACCAACGCACACTCACCCTCGCCAACGCACCTTCACCCTCGCCAACGCACCTTCACCCTCGCCAACGCACACTCACCCTGGCCAACGCACCTTCACCCTCGCCAACGCACACTCACCCTCGCCAACGCACACTCACCCTGGCCAACGCACCTTCACCCTCGCCAACGCACACTCACCCTCGCCAACGCACACTCACCCTGGCCAACGCACCTTCACCCTCGCCAACGCACACTCACCCTCGCCAACGCACACTCACCCTGGCCAACGCACACTCACCCTCGCCAACGCACACTCACCCTCGCCAACGCACCTTCACCCTCGCCAACGCACCTTCACCCTCGCCAACGCACACTCACCCGGGCCAACGCACCTTCACCCTCGCCAACGCACACTCACCCTGGCCAACGCACCTTCACCCTCGCCAACGCACCTTCACCCTCGCCAACGCACACTCACCCTCGCCAACGCACACTCACCCTGGCCAACGCACACTCACCCTGGCCAACGCACACTCACCCTCGCCAACGCACACTCACCCTGGCCAACGCACCTTCACCCTCGCCAACGCACCTTCACCCTCGCCAACGCACACTCACCCTGGCCAACGCACCTTCACCCTCGCCAACGCACACTCACCCTGGCCAACGCACCTTCACCCTCGCCAACGCACACTCACCCTCGCCAACGCACACTCACCCTGGCCAACGCACCTTCACCCTCGCCAACGCACCTTCACCCTCACCAACGCACCTTCACCCTCGCCAACGCACCTTCACCCTCGCCAACGCACACTCACCCTCGCCAACGCACACTCACCCTGGCCAACGCACACTCACCCTCGCCAACGCACACTCACCCTCGCCAACGCACACTCACCCTGGCCAACGCACACTCACCCTCGCCAACGCACACTCACCCTCGCCAACGCACCTTCACCCTCGCCAACGCACACTCACCCTCGCCAACGCACACTCACCCTGGCCAACGCACACTCACCCTCGCCAACGCACACTCACCCTCGCCAACGCACACTCACCCTGGCCAACGCACCTTCACCCTCGCCAACGCACACTCAACCTCGCCAACGCACACTCACCCTGGCCAACGCACCTTCACCCTCGCCAACGCACACTCACCCTCGCCAACGCACACTCACCCTCGCCAACGCACACTCACCCTCGCCAACGCACCTTCACCCTCGCCAACGCACACTCACCCTCGCCAACGCACACTCACCCTGGCCAACGCACCTTCACCCTCGCCAACGCACCTTCACCCTCGCCAACGCACACTCACCCTCGCCAACGCACACTCACCCTGGCCAACGCACCTTCACCCTCGCCAACGCACACTCACCCTGGCCAACGCACACTCACCCTCGCCAACGCACACTCACCCTCGCCAACGCACACTCACCCTCTACAACGCACCCTCACCCACGGCAACCACGTGTGTGACGAGGTGTGACGATGGTTACAGTGTGTGATGTCGATGAGGTGTGACGATGGTGACGGTGTGTGGCGTTCCGCAGCGTCACGTCGTCGGAGAAGGTGGACAAGGCTCAGCGTTACGCCGACTTCACCCTTCTATCCCTGCCCTATCCCGGTACGGCCTCGGTTGTCAAGTCATGGGTCAAGGGTCACAGGGTTGGGTCACTGTGCCAAATCGAGGGTCGGGTCCAGGGTCACATGACCAGGTCAAGGGCCACAGTATTCGGTGAAGGTGATGGGAAGGTCAAGGATTACCGGGTTAGGTCACGAGTTACCAGGGCCATGTCAAGGCCACGCACAAGTCACGCGACGTATGGGAGGCTTGAGCTGATTTATTTCGATTTACGTGCGTGTGGAACAAAATCTGAAAAGTGCGCAAAGAAGCAACGGAGAGACGCACGCTCAGAAACGCAGCAAGAGGCAGAGAGAGGAACATGCAGCTGAGAGAACGCACACGAAGCAGAGGCCTCGCTTAAACCGTATCGACATTGGGCAGGATGCGTCACAGCCAGAAGGGACCGTGGCCGGTAGTCGAGACTTAAGGACGGAGTGGCAGCCGAAGGAGAGAGCGCGCTCGATGGTACATCCGCAGTGGAGACGGAACGACGAGGCGGTGTCCTCCTCGTGATGATGCAGCAGCCGTGCGGATTGTCGCAGGATCGTGAGAGATGGCGGCGGGTTGGGATGAGGGGGGGGGCCTCCTTACGGCAGTGGGCTGACCGTGGCCCGGCCCGGTGTTTGCGTCTGGCAGGCTGCGAGTTCTTCAAGGCCTACCGAGAGCGGGATTACTCGGGCGAGGGACTCGTGTTCGACTGGAGTCAGGTATGGACTGCGGGTGCCGTCCCGCACTACGGTTTGCTGGGCCTAAACTGTGGGGGTAGTGATTGGGACGAGACGGGGTCACGAGTGTCGAGTGTTTATTTTTTATTAACGCTTTCAGTCTGTGCATGCGCGTGTTTGCGCGCGTGGGTGTGCGTACGTCCGTTTGTGTGTGTGTGCGCATGCGTGGTTCTTGAGGCAGGACTATGTGGACGCTCCGCTCAGCGTCCCCGAGGAGCTCAGGGAGGGGCTGCCCATCAACTGGGGTGGATACAGGGCAAGTACGCACACACACAAACAAACATCCCCCGTATAGCCTTAACAGACTGTTGGGGTAAGTACTTTTAGCGATTACCTATGAAGGCCGGAACGGCACACGAGGGGGTGTGCCAACAGCACGCCCGGCCGCCTTTGTCTCCCTCGTGGCAATGTTTACTTATTTGAGGCTGAGTCAACCGAGGGGAGACCCAGGACTGGTTCAGATAATTGTCACTGATCTTGGCCGTGAGCGGAAATCGAACTCGGGTCGCCAGGTTCGTAGTGCTGCGAGCTAACCACTATACTACCGCTCCCCCCCTCGCACGCACACACGTGCAATCTTACGCACACACACGCACACACACAAATTCACACAAACTCGCACACACACACGTGCCCACACACACGTGCACACTCACACACATGCACACACACACAAATTCGCACACACACATGCGCACACACACACATGCGCACACAAAGATCCCCCGTATAGCCTTAACAGACTGTAGGAGCAAGTGCTGTTAGCGAGCACCTATGAAGGCCAGAACGGTACACGAGGGGGTGGGTGGCTAGCACCATGCCCGACCGCCTTTGTCTCCCCAGTGGTGATGTTTACACACTGCACCAGGTACTCATTTGAGACTGAGTCGACCTAGGGGAGGCCCAGGACCGGTTTAGATAATCGTCACTGGTGTTGGCCGTGAGCGGGAATCGAACCCGGGTCGCCGGGTTCATAGCGCAGCGCGCTAACTGCTACACTACCGCATGCGCACACACACACATGCGCACACACACGTATACACATTCACACAAACTCTCACGTGTGTAATCTCACACACGCGCTATGGAGTAGGGTTTCATAACCAGTAACCGGTTTTCCGCACGGCATTGTCCAGAGCAGTAAACACGTGCTTAGATTTTTAACTGAGACGCGATGGGGGAGGTGGTACCACAGTGGCGGTGTAGTGGCCACCACCCGCGGACTCGCCATCCAGAGGTCGCCGATTCCGCTCCATCTCCTGGTGCGGCAGTTGAAACCATGGTGCAAGTTTCTCACATCTTGCCTCCCCCTCCCCTGTCCGCCCAGCCCCAGTGTAAATGGATGCCAGTCCATCAACGGGTCGCGTTTGGTGGGGTAAAGTGTGGTTACGCACCCGCCTCTTCCTAAACCTCTGGCCCAGCGTGAAAGAGTAGGCCATTTACTCTCTCCAGATCCCCCCTCTAGCGAAGGCCCCTTCCGCCAGCAGTGACATTGGCGAGCAATTGCAGGGGCTGCCCCTGTACCTCTCAACTGAGAAACGCGGGGGCATTGCGCTACGCTGCGACTGAGGCTGCCAGTGCGGTTTTCATGTTTACGCGTGGCCAGTCCGTGCGTGCGGCATTCGCCTTCCGCCAGACGCGATTACAGACATCGACAGTTACTGTTTAACAACCGCGATGAAGACAATGATCCCCCACGTAGCCGACACGGGCTAATGGGACCGGTGCTGTTCGTGAGCACCTCTAGAGGCCAGCAGCACACATCAACAGCCGCCACTCGCCACCAAATGGCAGAGAGATCACCACCGTACTTGCACCCAGCTAGATGCACTCCGGGACCCCGGTATGCACACATGTGCATGTGCGTGCACCTTCCGGTAATTTGTAGGTAACGTTCCGCCCTCATCGTTGTACCCACAGTCATGGGACCTGATGGAGCAGACTCAAAACTACCTGCGCCTCCTGCTGCACATCATCAACCTGGACGGTGAGCGACAGGCCAGCACAGGGCAGGGCAGGGACAGGGTTTGGGCAAGGAAGTGCGGGGCGGTACGATGTACTGGAAGGACCAGGCAGGGCGGTGTGGGTTGGGTGGTTCGGTACGTGCCAGGGATGGTACCGAGTGGCAGGCCCGTGGGTTTCAGGTGCATTACGGGTGAAGCAGGAAAGACTGAAGCGGCGGGAGACTCGGAGGGACGCGTTGGAGAAGAGTGAGATGGGAGAGATGATCGAGGGACGGGAAGGCACGGGGAGACACACAGGGAGGTGCCGGGAGACGTGTGGACAGGAGACTGGTGCGCATGTGTCCCTGTGCAGACGAGAGTGGGCTCCTGGTTCACTGCATCTCGGGCTGGGACCGCACGCCGCTCTTCATCTCCCTCCTGAGACTCTCCCTGTGGGCCGTGAGTACCTGCGTCTCCGCATGTTCCTGTGTATCTCCCCGTGTCTCCGCATGTTTCTTTATGTCTCCGCGTATCCCCATGTAGTGGTTGTGAGGAGGGAAGTTCTCGGGTTCGCTTCTCCACGGTTTCACTCTGAGCTCTCACCCAGTTCCTGTCTCACCACACAACACGTGAGCGAGTGTGCGCATCTGTGCGTGCGTGCACACGTGTGACAGTGTGCGTGTCTGTGAGGAGTGGGATAGTGGTTAGCGTGCTGCGCTACAAACCCGGTGACCCGAGTTCTATTCCTGCTCACGGCCACCAACACAGTGACGATTATCTGAACCGGTCCTGGGCCTCCCCAAGGTCTACTCGGCCACAAATAAGTAACTGGTGTGATATGTAAACATCGCCAACAAGGAGACAAAGGTGGCTGGGCGTGGTGCTGGCCACCCACCTCGTATGTCTTGCCAGCCTTCATAGGTGCTTGCTAACAGCACTTGCCGCAACAGTCTGTTAAGGCTTTTTTTATATATAGTCTGTTAAGGCTATAAGGGATGTCTTTGTCTTTGTACGTGCAGGACGGACTGGTCCACGCATCCCTGGGGCCCGAGGAAATCCTCTACCTCACCATCGCCTACGACTGGTTCCTCTTCGGGTGTGGTGACCTTTAACCTCCCACCCGTGACCTTTTACCCCCCTCCCCTGGCCCCTCAAAACAATTAAACCGCACACACGTGGAGAACGAACAAACTCCACTTGGACAGGGGCTCGGGTTGGGAATCAAACCTAGGAACTTTCATGCTGCGAGGCACCAGTGTCACCACTACACGGTGCGTACTGAGTGCGTGGTGAGCCTGTGGTAAGCCTGTGGTGGACGCGGTGCGGTTGTGGCATGGTGGAATCGTGAGGCCGCGTGTTCATGTCTCCGCTTGGTGTTCCCACAGGCACATGCTCGAGGACCGGCTCCTTAAGGGCGAGGAGGTGAGGGCAAGGCCAGAAAGAAACATGACACACGACCTCTCAGTCGCGTGACCCCGTGACCCCGTGACCCCGTGACCCCACTCACAGCATTGTTGAGCTGGTCTCATTCCTGCACAGTTGTCTTTGGGCTCTATGCTACATGCTACCCGTGTCTCCATGTCTCATTGTGCTCATGTCTCTTTGTTTTATTGTGTCCGTGTCTCTGTGTCTCATTGTGTCTGCGACTCGATCCTTTGTCCCCGTGACCATCTCCTCCGTCTCTCTCAGATTTTCTTCTTCTGCTTCAACTGCTTGAAGCACATCTCCGGCGACGAGTTTTCAGCTCTGCGGAGAAAACGGTGGGTGCCCCCAAACCCCACTTCCCCCCCCCACCTCCTTCCTCCACACCCCACCCCTCCTCCCTTCGCCCCCCCAACCCCCTTCCATAGCAACAGGAATGTTACCATTCAATCAATCCATCATTGGCCCAGATACATTTGGATTCAATTTAAATGTTATCTGTAATGGTTAATATTAAGTTCAAATCGGATTGTATGTTCGTGTTCATGTTATGACACCTGATTACAAAGTTGGGTCAGGTTTGCTGTGTGTTCGTCTCCCTATATGGTCCAGTCGTGAGGATTTTTGGTTTTCACCCAGTTGCACCTGGGTTCAATTCCTGTTATGGGAAATTATATTTAGTGGAGAACGGTAGCGCAAGCGTTAGTGTGCTGCACTACGAACCCAGCGACACGAGTTCGATTCCCGCTAACGGCCCAATATCAGTGACTATTATTTGAACCGATCTTGGGCCTCCCCTAGGTCGACTCGGCCTCAAATGAGTACCTGATGCGGTGTGTAAGCATCACCACTGGGGGGACAAAGCCTCCGGGCGTGGTGCTGGCCACCTACCCCCTCGTGTGCCATGCCGGCCTTCATAGGTGCTCACTAACAGCACTTGCCCCAACAGTCTGTTAAGGCTACACGGGGGATTTTTGTCTTGTTAAAACACACGCTCTGTCTGTGTGTGCGTAGGAGAAAGCGGGAGTCCTCACGGGAAACGGAGGGACGTAGTGACGACGGTGGAGCCCTTGGTATGAGCCCGTGTCCCCACCGTGTCCCCACCGTGTCCCCACTGTCCCCACCGTGTCCCCACCGTGTCCCCACCGTGTCCACCTGTTCCATCCACCTGTTCCATCCACCTGCGTGTGCCTTGTCCACCTATCAAGTCCCGGCGTTCTTTATGTGGGTTGCATCTTGCCGTCTTTGAGGGCCGCTGCTGCTGTTGTTTGTTGCTGTTTGTGAATGTGGCTGTGTGTGGTTGCATGTGTAGCTGTGTGTGCTTGCATGTGTGGGGAGTGGTAGTGTAGCGGTTAGCGCGCCGCGCTATGAACCCGGCGACCCGGGTTCGATTGCCTCTCACGGCCAACACCAGTGGCGATTATCTGAACCGGTCCTGGGCCTCCCCTAGGTCGACTCAGCCTCAAATGAGTACCTGGTGTGGTTTGTAAACATCAGCACTGGGGAGACAAAGGCGGTCGGGCGTGGTGCTGGCCACCCACCCCCTCATGTACCGTTCCGGCCTTAGGTGCTCATTAACAGCACTTGCCCCTTCAGTCCGTTTAAGGCTATACGGGGGATCTTTGTTTTATTTTTGTGCTTGCACGTGAATGTGGCTGTGTGTGGCTGTGTGTGTGTAGCTGTGTGAGCCTGTGCTCTGCGTGTGGGACGTGTAACACGGCTGCTGTCGTTTGTGTGTGTTGCCGTGAGTGGCTTGCTGTGTGTAGCCGTGTGAAGTTGCGCGCTGCATGTGTGAAGTGTGACGCGGCTGCTGTCGCTTGGCCTCCGCGTGGTGCAGATGGGCGTCTGGCAGGGAGCAGCAGCAGCCTGAACAGCGTGGGCAGCTTGTCCACCTTGCTGGACGACTCTCCGTCCGTCCTCACAGAATCCGGCGACCCGCACGCTCATCCGCTCGCGCGTTCACACCACTGGTATACTCGCCCGCTCACTCACCCACCCACTCGCTCGCCCATTTGCCTACTCATAATGATGGTGACGATAGCGGTGATGGTAACGGTGGTAGTGGTGATAATGGTGACGGTTGCGGTGGTGATGGTGTTGACGGTTGTGGTGGTGATGGTGGTAACAGTAATGGTAATGATGGTGACGGTAACGGGGGTAGTGGTGATGATGGTGACGGTTGCGGTGGTGATGGTGGTGATGGTTGTGGTGGTGATGGTGGTAACAGCAATGGTGATGGCGGTAGCGGTGACGGTAACGGTGACGGTAGCCTTTGATGGTAGCAGTGATGGTCATAGTGATGTTACAAGCGACAACCTCTAACCCCCTGCCTCCTCAGTGCAGAGACGCGGTCCCATCTCCTCCACCAATCAGAAGATAGGATGGCCGCTCATCCCAACCAATCAGAGCACGGCTTACTGCAGCAGAGAGGAAGCAGCCCATTGGCCGTGCCGACGAGAGAGAGGTGGGGGCGGGTGGCGGGGTAGGTGTGCAGTGCAGAGTGAGTGTGTGATGGTACGGTATTGTGTGATGTGATGCAGTGTTGGTTTGTAATGTGGTGTGACATGCAGTGTTGGTGTAATGTGGTGCGATGTTGGTGTGACACGGTGTGGTGTTGGTGTGACGTGGTGCGGTGTTGGCGTGACCTAGTGCGGTGTTGGTGGTTGTGACGTTGACGTGACGCGGTCTTGGCAATGTTGGTGATGTTGGCGATGTTTGCTTGACCTGACGCGGTGTTAGTGGTGGTGGTGTTGGTGTGACGTGTCGCGTTGGTGGTGACGTTGGCGTGACGCGGTGCGGTTTCCAGGACGGGCTCTGTGGCATCCTCGTGTGAGAGCGAGAGCTGGCAGCTCGTGTCAGACTCTGGCAGCCTGAGGGGTCCGGCGCGGGGGATGGGCAGAGACTCGCCTTTCCCTCACCAGTGAGCAACTCTAAATCACCCGCTCGCGTTCACACTCCCTTGCGTTCACACTCGCTCACGTTCACACTCGCTCACGTTCACACTCGCTCACCGGCCGGGACGCCCAGCGGTAGAGCGGGGTGGCTCGCAATCGGGAGGTCGTGAGTTCACATCCTGGTTGGGGGTCAGCTTGGCCCATGAGCCCCTCCCTCCGAGCTCGATAAAGACAAAGTACCGCCTGGCGTGGGAAATCAACAGGATGTCCTACGCACGCACGGACTCGCCCCCACTATATGAATGTGGAATTTCCTCCATTGACTGCTGTAGACAAGAGATGAGTAACAATGCCTCAATGCGCATTTGAGCAGGAGATCACTTTGAGCAAGTGTTACTCCCCGACGCGCACTTATTCGCACACTCGCGCTCACTCGCCGTGTCTCCCCGTGATTGCTGTTGCACAAATTTGCACAGCGACGCCGGCACACCACGGCCTGCTCTTCCGAACGGCGCCACGGGGCTCTTTACCGCCCGCGCGAGCGAGCGAGGCGGACGACGCTCGATAGCGCTCGGCATCTAATACGACGGCGGCGTCTGCCGGGGCGGTCCGCCGGTCGTCAAACCGCGAAGACGCCCGGCGTCTCACCACGAGTATCCCCCCCCACCCCCCCCCCGTGTCGACGCGGAGGCTGCCGGGCCCGTCGCCGCGCCAGGTGCGCCTGGAGGAGGTGCGCTCGGTGTTCTTGGCGGCGTACAGCCTCACCGTGGGGCTGCGCTCACCACCAGGGCCCCCCACGCCCTCCCTCACCGGCCTCCTGGAGCACCTCGTCCGCGGCCTGCGCACCTGAGACTCGCTCGCTCGCTCACCTCACTCACCAAGGACTCACTCACCAGGGACTCACTAACCAGGGACTCACTAACTCACCTCACTCACCAGGGACTCACTCACCTGACTCACCAGGGACTCACTCACCTGACTCACCAGGGACTTTGCTGACTTACTCACCTGACTCACCAGGGACTCACTAACTCACTTCACTCACCAAGGACTTTGCTCACTTCCTCACCTCACCCACCAGGGACTCACTCACTCACGTGACTCACCAGGGACTCGGAGACCTCCACTTAGTAACAAACATAAGAACACTTTCCAGGGACTCGCTCACATATGAATAAGGCGCCTGATAACTCACTCACACACTCTTCTGGGACCGCACACGTACACGGTAACACGTCGCACAACACACACGCACCTGAGAACACACACAGTGATACACACCCCTAGGCGGGCACGCACGCCATCTGGGAACACACTCACACACACTCACACACTCACTCACTCACATGCTCACACACACACAAACACTCACATGCTCACACACACGCTCTCACCCTTGCTCACTCGCACACATACGCTCGCACACTAACACACATACACGCTCACGCGCTCATACGCGCTGACACATGCTCACACATGCTCACTCAACAACAACCGCCATTCGCCACTAAGTGGCGGTGACGTCACCACGGGGCTTGTGCCAGGCTACGTGCACCTTGAGGCCACGTGAAGTGTTGAACGCCCGTTGGCAGGTCACGGGACAGAACGAGGTGCCACGGGTTAACTGACTGAAATGAGTGGCCGATGCACCACCTGTGCCCCCTCCTGCGCCAACAACGAGTGGAGTGCCACCCGGCACTCCGCTCGTTGCTGTGAGTGACTGCCTCCAACTGCCCAGCAGCGTCCTTCACGAGCCTCCTCCACAGAGGCCGATCTTGACACCGCTGGTACCAGTCATCGGCAAGTCCACTCAGCTCCACGTCCTCCTGTACCACATCACTCCATCTCTTCTCTAGCCTGTGTCGCGTCCGTTTAGCCCCCTCGATCCGGCCTAACAAAAGCTGTTTAGGTATGCGGCGGCTGGGCTACATGACCCAGCCAACGCAGCCTTGCCTGCCGGAGCTCATCGATGGGACTTTGCCCAGATCTTTCAAGGATTTGTGAGCTCACACAATCCAGCCTGGTTAAACCCAGGATGGATGGTAGGCAGGCCAGCCTAAATGTTTACAACCGGCGAAGATGCTCCATTAGGGGGGTCCACGTTTCGCAAGCGTAGAGAAGGGAGGGAATGACTGGCCGAGAAGACCTGAAGCTTCGTGCGGAGCGGCAGACCAGGTAGCTTCCATGCAGCGTTACTGCAACCTATGAAAGGATAATGCCGTTCGACTAATTCGTAGTGAGACCTCTGCTGTTAAACCGGAGCCGGTCTTGAGCACACTGCCCAGGTATGGGAAACTCTCCACTCTCTCCACAACTGCCCCATCATTCGCACACACATCTGAGAGCGCTCTCCTGCACATCCCCGGCCATGGCAGGAACGCACCTGGACATTCATAGGAACAAACTTGTGCCCTCAACTGTCTTCACACCTGTACACACCTTTACATGCTGGCACACGCACACGTGCTCGTCCTGTAAATATATAAATAAATGCATCGCAGGTGCGTGCGCTCAAAGCCGCAGTGTCTGCGTGCGCGGCCACTGCAGGTGTGACCGGTTTGCTCCCGGGCCAAGAGACCGCGAGAGAGAAAGAAGTGGGGAGTGTTGATGAAGCTGAGAGAGACGGGATGTTGGTGAAGCTGAGAGAGACGGGATGTTGGTGATGTTGAGAGAGACGGGATGTTGGTGATGTTGAAGCTGAGAGAGACGGGATGTTGGTGAAGCTGAGAGAGACGGGATGTTGGTGAAGCTGAGAGAGACGGGATGTTGGTGATGTTGAAGCTGAGAGAGACGGGATGTTGGTGAAGCTGAGAGAGACGGGATGTTGGTGAAGCTGAGAGAGACGGGATGTTGGTGATGTTGAGAGAGACGGGATGTTGGTGAAGCTGAGAGAGACGGGATGTTGGTGAAGCTGAGAGAGACGGGATGTTGGTGATGTTGAAGCTGAGAGAGACGGGATGTTGGTGAAGCTGAGAGAGACGGGATGTTGGTGAAGCTGAGAGAGACGGGATGTTGGTGATGTTGAGAGAGACGGGATGTTGGTGAAGCTGAGAGAGACGGGATGTTGGTGAAGCTGAGAGAGACGGGATGTTGGTGATGTTGAGAGAGACGGGATGTTGGTGATGTTGAAGCTGAGAGAGACGGGATGTTGGTGAAGCTGAGAGAGACGGGATGTTGGTGAAGCTGAGAGAGACGGGATGTTGGTGATGTTGAAGCTGAGAGAGACGGGATGTTGGTGAAGCTGAGAGAGACGGGATGTTGGTGAAGCTGAGAGAGACGGGATGTTGGTGATGTTGAGAGAGACGGGATGTTGGTGAAGCTGAGAGAGACGGGATGTTGGTGAAGCTGAGAGAGACGGGATGTTGGTGATGTTGAAGCTGAGAGAGACGGGATGTTGGTGAAGCTGAGAGAGACGGGATGTTGGTGAAGCTGAGAGAGACGGGATGTTGGTGATGTTGAGAGAGACGGGATGTTGGTGAAGCTGAGAGAGACGGGATGTTGGTGAAGCTGAGAGAGACGGGATGTTGGTGAAGCTGAGAGAGACGGGATGTTGGTGATGTTGAGAGAGACGGGATGTTGGTGAAGCTGAGAGAGACGGGATGTTGGTGAAGCTGAGAGAGACGGGATGTTGGTGAAGCTGAGAGAGACGGGATGTTGGTGATGTTGAGAGAGACGGGATGTTGGTGAAGCTGAGAGAGACAGGATGTTGGTGAAGCTGAGAGAGACGGGATGTTGGTGAAGCTGAGAGAGACGGGATGTTGGTGAAGCTGAGAGAGACGGGATGTTGGTGATGTTGAGAGAGACGGGATGTTGGTGAAGCTGAGAGAGACAGGATGTTGGTGAAGCTGAGAGAGACGGGATGTTGGTGAAGCTGAGAGAGACGGGATGTTGGTGAAGCTGAGAGAGACAGGATGTTGGTGAAGCTGAGAGAGACGGGATGTTGGTGAAGCTGAGAGAGACGGGATGTTGGTGAGGCTGAGAGAGACAGGATGTTGGTGAAGCTGAGAGAGACGGGATGTTGGTGAAGCTGAGAGAGACGGGATGTTGGTGATGTTGAGAGAGACGGGATGTTGGTGAAGCTGAGAGAGACAGGATGTTGGTGAAGCTGAGAGAGACGGGATGTTGGTGAAGCTGAGAGAGACGGGATGTTGGTGAAGCTGAGAGAGACGGGATGTTGGTGAAGCTGAGAGAGACGGGATGTTGGTGAAGCTGAGAGAGACGGGATGTTGGTGAAGCTGAGAGAGACGGGATGTTGGTGAAGCTGAGAGAGACGGGATGTTGGTGATGTTGAGAGAGACGGGATGTTGGTGAAGCTGAGAGAGACGGGATGTTGGTGAAGCTGAGAGAGACGGGATGTTGGTGATGTTGAAGCTGAGAGAGACGGGATGTTGGTGAAGCTGAGAGAGACGGGATGTTGGTGAAGCTGAGAGAGACGGATGTTGGTGATGTTGAGAGAGACGGGATGTTGGTGAAGCTGAGAGAGACGGGATGTTGGTGAAGCTGAGAGAGACGGGATGTTGGTGAAGCTGAGAGAGACGGGATGTTGGTGATGTTGAGAGAGACGGGATGTTGGTGAAGCTGAGAGAGACAGGATGTTGGTGAAGCTGAGAGAGACGGGATGTTGGTGAAGCTGAGAGAGACGGGATGTTGGTGAAGCTGAGAGAGACGGGATGTTGGTGATGTTGAGAGAGACGGATGTTGGTGAAGCTGAGAGAGACAGGATGTTGGTGAAGCTGAGAGAGACGGGATGTTGGTGAAGCTGAGAGAGACGGGATGTTGGTGAAGCTGAGAGAGACGGGATGTTGGTGATGTTGAGAGAGACGGGATGTTGGTGAAGCTGAGAGAGACAGGATGTTGGTGAAGCTGAGAGAGACGGGATGTTGGTGAAGCTGAGAGAGACGGGATGTTGGTGAAGCTGAGAGAGAAGGATGTTGGTGAAGCTGAGAGAGACGGGATGTTGGTGAAGCTGAGAGAGACGGGATGTTGGTGAGGCTGAGAGAGCCAGGATGTTGGTGAAGCTGAGAGAGACGGGATGTTGGTGAAGCTGAGAGAGACGGGATGTTGGTGATGTTGAGAGAGACGGGATGTTGGTGAAGCTGAGAGAGACAGGATGTTGGTGAAGCTGAGAGAGACGGGATGTTGGTGAAGCTGAGAGAGACGGGATGTTGGTGAAGCTGAGAGAGACAGGATGTTGATGAAGCTGAGAGAGACGGGATGTTGGTGAAGCTGAGAGAGACGGGATGTTGGTGAAGCTGAGAGAGACAGGATGTTGGTGAAGCTGAGAGAGACGGGATGTTGGTGAAGCTGAGAGAGACGGGATGTTGATGATGTTGAAGTTGAGAGAGACAGGATGTTGGTGAAGCTGAGAGAGACAGGATGTTGGTGAAGCTGAGAGAGACGGGATGTTGGTGAAGCTGAGAGAGACGGGATGTTGGTGAAGCTGAGAGAGACAGGATGTTGGTGAAGCTGAGAGAGACAGGATGTTGGTGAAGCTGAGAGAGACGGGATGTTGGTGAAGCTGAGAGAGACGGGATGTTGGTGAAGCTGAGAGAGACGGGATGTTGATGATGTTGAAGTTGAGAGAGACGGGATGTTGATGAAGCTGAGAGAGACGGGATGTTGGTGAAGCTGAGAGAGACGGGATGTTGGTGAAGCTGAGAGAGACAGGATGTTGGTGAAGCTGAGAGAGACAGGATGTTGGTGAAGCTGAGAGAGACGGGATGTTGGTGAAGCTGAGAGAGACGGGATGTTGGTGAAGCTGAGAGAGACGGGATGTTGGTGATGTTGAGAGAGACGGGATGTTGGTGAAGCTGAGAGAGACAGGATGTTGGTGAAGCTGAGAGAGACGGGATGTTGGTGAAGCTGAGAGAGACGGGATGTTGGTGATGTTGAAGTTGAGAGAGACGGGATGTTGGTGAAGCTGAGAGAGACGGGATGTTGATGATGTTGAAGCTGAGAGAGACGGGATGTTGGTGAAGCTGAGAGAGACGGGATGTTGGTGAAGCTGAGAGAGACGGGATGTTGGTGAAGCTGAGAGAGACAGGATGTTGGTGAAGCTGAGAGAGACGGGATGTTGGTGAAGCTGAGAGAGACAGGATGTTGATGAAGCTGAGAGAGACGGGATGTTGGTGAAGCTGAGAGAGACAGGATGTTGGTGAAGCTGAGAGAGACGGGATGTTGGTGAAGCTGAGAGAGACGGGATGTTGGTGAAGCTGAGAGAGACAGGATGTTGGTGAAGCTGAGAGAGACGGGATGTTGGTGAAGCTGAGAGAGACGGGATGTTGGTGAAGCTGAGAGAGACGGGATGTTGGTGAAGCTGAGAGAGACGGGATGTTGGTGAGGCTGAGAGAGACGGGATGTTGGTGAAGCTGAGAGAGACGGGATGTTGGTGAAGCTGAGAGAGACGGGATATTGGTGAGGCTGAGAGAGACGGGATGTTGGTGAAGCTGAGAGAGACGGGATGTTGGTGAAGATGAGAGAGACGGGATGTTGGTGAAGCTGAGAGAGACGGGATGTTGGTGAAGCTGAGAGAGACGGGATGTTGGTGAAGCTGAGAGAGACGGGATGTTGGTGAAGCTGAGAGAGCGGATGTTGGTGAAGCTGAGAGAGACGGGATGTTGGTGAGGCTGAGAGAGACGGGATGTTGGTGAAGCTGAGAGAGACGGGATGTTGGTGAAGCTGAGAGAGACGGGATGTTGGTGAAGCTGAGAGAGACGGGATGTTGGTGAAGCTGAGAGAGACGGGATGTTGGTGAAGCTGAGAGAGACGGGATGTTGGTGAAGCTGAGAGAGACGGGATGTTGGTGAGGCTGAGAGAGACGGGATGTTGGTGAAGCTGAGAGAGACGGGATGTTGGTGAGGCTGAGAGAGACGGGATGTTGGTGAAGCTGAGAGAGACGGGATGTTGGTGAGGCTGAGAGAGACGGGATGTTGGTGAAGCTGAGAGAGACGGGATGTTGGTGAAGCTGAGAGAGACGGGATGTTGGTGAAGCTGAGAGAGACGGGATGTTGGTGAAGCTGAGAGAGACGGGATGTTGGTGAAGCTGAGAGAGACGGGATGTTGGTGAGGCTGAGAGAGACGGGATGTTGGTGAAGCTGAGAGAGACGGGATGTTGGTGAGGCTGAGAGAGACGGGATGTTGGTGAAGCTGAGAGAGACGGGATGTTGGTGAGGCTGAGAGAGACGGGATGTTGGTGAAGCTGAGAGAGACGGGATGTTGGTGAAGATGAGAGAGACGGGATGTTGGTGAAGCTGAGAGAGACGGGATGTTGGTGAAGCTGAGAGAGACGGGATGTTGGTGAAGCTGAGAGAGACGGGATGTTGGTGAAGCTGAGAGAGACGGGATGTTGGTGAAGCTGAGAGAGACGGGATGTTGGTGAGGCTGAGAGAGACGGGATGTTGGTGAAGCTGAGAGAGACGGGATGTTGGTGAGGCTGAGAGAGACGGGATGTTGGTGAAGCTGAGAGAGACGGGATGTTGGTGAAGCTGAGAGAGACGGGATGTTGGTGAAGCTGAGAGAGACGGGATGTTGGTGAAGCTGAGAGAGACGGGATGTGGTGAGGCTGAGAGAGACGGGATGTTGGTGAAGCTGAGAGAGACGGGATGTTGGTGAGGCTGAGAGAGACGGGATGTTGGTGAAGCTGAGAGAGACGGGATGTTGGTGAAGATGAGAGAGACGGGATGTTGGTGAAGCTGAGAGAGACGGGATGTTGGTGAAGCTGAGAGAGACGGGATGTTGGTGAAGCTGAGAGAGACGGGATGTTGGTGAAGCTGAGAGAGACGGGATGTTGGTGAAGCTGAGAGAGACGGGATGTTGGTGAAGCTGAGAGAGACGGGATGTTGGTGAAGCTGAGAGAGACGGGATGTTGGTGAAGCTGAGAGAGACGGGATGTTGGTGAAGCTGAGAGAGACGGGATGTTGGTGAAGCTGAGAGAGACGGGATGTTGGTGAAGCTGAGAGAGACGGGATGTTGGTGAAGCTGAGAGAGACAGGATGTTGGTGAAGCTGAGACCGAGAGTCCTGGGTTCATCTGTGCCTGGCGAGTCATCGAGGTTGCTGTTGGACTCGGGAGTGGGGGCCGCACGGTGTGAGAATCGGGGGGGGGGGGGGGGGTGACGCCACTTGTACAGAGGTTCACTGCTTCGAATCCCAGCGGCCACCCTGGCTAATGCTGCGGTGTGGTCGTCACCGTTCACACAGAATGGCCCCAGAAGAGGAGGATCTTCCGGCGTAGAGGCGGCGGTGGGGATTGCTCCGTTTCAGCGGCGTTGATTCAACGCAAGCGACACTCCGGACCGGTTTCGACATTTCAGCGTCTCATCAGCAGGAGTCTGACTCGCTTGACCCGATGATGCTGTCGAGCTTGCCCCACGGGCTCCTGGTTGGGACCCAACGCCGCACAATCCACGACCAACAGAATCGCGCCCTCGCATCACCACCCCGCGTCTCCGCGGTCACCACGGTCCATGGCTCAATTTCACCGTCACAAAAACGAATTGTTCCTGGGTAGTCAGTGTTTTTCCCTAATTGCTTGAGCCTCAAAAATACAGAATGGCTTTTATTATTATTCCCTACAAGCTTTGCTTTTGTGAGCAGGACAGTGATATTTTGAAATTTACCTATTTTCAATGAGAAAACGCGGTGTGCATTTGTGTCTTTCCTTCACAAAGTCCTGGTCACAAAGCAAAGTTTGTGGGGAATAATAATAGCAGCCATTTTCTGTACTTTTGAGGCATAAGCAATTAGAAACTAACACGTACTACCCAGGAACAAAAATCGTGTTACATCGTGAATTTTCAACGAACTCCAAACTGTTCCTCAGTCTCCCACCGGCCAGCCCCACCCCTCGCGCCCCCTCCCCCGGGGGACCCCGCCCCGCCCCCCGTGTGCTGGGTTGCCATTCCACATTCCTGCTCCACACCCTCAAACCGCCCCAGTGGGAATCCTTCCACGTGCCGCTTCCCCCTCCGCTGCCTCCGCTGCCCTTCGCCCCTCGTGGTCCTCAGCCGCACCGCCGCCTCCCTCCTGCCCAGCCGCCTCCTCCTGCCCAGCTGCCGCCCTCCGCTGCCCGCTGCTGCCACTCTTGACCCCCCCCCCCCCCCGCCGGCATGGGCTGCGACCCTGGTGTGGACGTGAGATGCTGCGTGAAATGGACTCTCTTCGTCTTCAACCTCGTCTTCTGGGTGAGGAGGGGTTGCCTGGGTACACAAAACACTGACAAAGATCCCCCCTCGGTATAGCCTCACGAGACTTTTGGGGCAAGTGCTGTCAGCGAGCATCTTTCAAGGCCGGTCACGGCACACGAGGGGGTGGGTGGACAACACCACCTTTGTCTCCCCAGTGGCGATGTTTACACACTCCACCGGGTACTCATTTGAGGCCGAGTCGACCTAGGAGAGGCCCAGGACCGGTTCAGACAATCGTCACCGGTGTTGGCCGTGAGCGGGAACGAACTCTGCTCGCCAGGTTTGTAGCGCAGCGCGCGAACCGCTACACCACCTCACCCCGTACCCTGTACACCCACTCACCTGTACACACTCACCTATAATCACCTGTACACCCACACCTGTACACACACACCTGTACACACACCTATAATCACCTGTACACAGACTCGCCTGTGCACCCACACCTGTACACAGACTCACCTGTACAAGACTCGCCTGTACTCACCTGTACACATGCCCACTCACCTGTGCACACGCTTGTACACGTGCATACCTAAATACACTCATCTGAGTAGACACACTTGAGCCCACCACACACACACATGTGTACATGTGTGTGTGTGTGTACCTGAGTTGCGGTGAGCGGTAGTGTAGCAGTGAGCATGCTGCGCTACGAACCCGGCGACCCGGGTTCGATTCCCGCACGGCCAACGCCAGTGATAGTTTTCTGTACTGGGCCTCCCCTATGTCGTCTCAGCCTCAAACGAGTACCTGGCCTGGTGTGTAAAAACATCGCCACCGGGGAGACAAAGGCGGTCGGGCGTGGTGTGCTGGCCACCCACACCCTCGTGTGCCGTGTCGGCCTTCGTAAGTGCTACTCGCTAAGACCACTTACCCCAACAGCCTGCCAAGGCTACACGGGGGATCTTTGTTGTGTCCCTGAGTCCACGCGTCGTGAGTGAGCGGCGCATTCCCCTCCGTGTCTCGTCTCGCCCCAACCCTGAGGGTGAATTCCTCATCTTGCTCAAAGCTCCCATCACCAGAAAACAACAAGATCACTAACACCATCAACACAAACATCAGTATCACCGCCGCCGCCGCCAACAATATCAACGCTGGGTGTGAGTGTCGGTGAGTGAGTCGTTCACCAGGTGAATCTGGGTGAGTCCAGGTTGTCGGGGCGTCGCTGGTTGCAGTCGGAGTGTATGCACGGACGGAGAAACGAGCCGGTGAGTGTTGGGGGTTCCATCAGCAGCATTATCAGCAGCAACACCGTTATCATTATCAGCAACACCGTTATCATTATCAGCAACACCGTTATCAGAAACATCGTTATCATCACCATCAGCAACATCGTTATCATTATCAGCAACATCATCATGACAACAGCACTATCAGCGTCATCTCGGTACACGAGTGAGTGGGGGGGGGGGGTCTGTGTGGGTGGGTGAGTGGGGGTCTGTGTGGGTGGGTGAGTGAGTGGGGGTCTGTGTGAGTGAGTGGGGGTCTGTGTGAGTGGGGGGGGGGGGGGTCTGTGTGGTTGGGTGAGTGGGTGGGGGTCTGTGTGAGTGAGTGAGTTGGGGTCTGTGTGAGTGAGTGATTGGGGGTCTGTGTGAGTGAGTGAGTGAGTGGGGGTCTGTGTGAGTGAGTGGGTGGGGCTCTGTGTGGGTGAGTGGGTGGGGGTCTGTGTGGGTGAGTGAGTGGGGGGGGGGTCTGTGTGAGTGAGTGAGTGAGTGGGGGTCTGTGTGAGTGAGTGAGTGAGTGGGGGTCTGTGTGAGTGAGTGGGTGAGTGGGTGGGGGTCTGTGTGAGTGAGTGAGTGAGTGGGGGTCTGTGTGAGTGAGTGAGTGAGTGGGGGTCTGTGTGGGTGAGTGGGTGAGTGGGTGGGGGTCTGTGTGGGTGAGTGAGTGGGGGGGGGGGTCTGTGTGAGTGAGTGAGGGAGTGGGGGTCTGTGTGAGTGAGTGAGTGGGGGTCTGTGTGAGTGAGTGGGTGGGGGTCTGTGTGGGTGAGTGGGTGAGTGGGTGGGGGTCTGTGTGGGTGAGTGAGTGGGGGGGGGGTCTGTGTGAGTGAGTGAGTGAGTGAGTGAGTGGGGGGTCTGTGTGAGTGAGTGAGTGGGGGTCTGTGTGAGTGTGGGTGGGGGTCTGTGTGGGTGAGTGGGTGAGTGGGTGGGGGTCTGTGTGGGTGAGTGAGTGGGGGGGGGTCTGTGTGGGTGAGTGGGTGGGGGTCTGTGTGGGTGAATGGGTGGGGGTGGGTGAGTGGGGGTCTATGTGGGTGAATGAGTGGGGGTCTGTGTGAGTGAGTGGGGGGGGGGTCTGTGTGAGTGAGTGGGGGGGGGGGGGGTCTGTGTGAGTGAGTGGGGGGTCTGTGTGTGTGAGTGAGTGGGGGTCTGTGCGAGTGAGTGAGTGGGGGGGGGGGCTATGTGAGTGAGTGGGGGGGGGGTCTGTGTGTGTGAGTGGGGGTCTGTGCGAGTGAGTGAGTGAGTGGGGGTCTGTGTGCCGCAGCTGGCTCCGTGGGCTCCCTGGTGGGGGACCCGGCCGTGCTGCTCCTCGTGGTGGGGGCTCTCACCTTCCTGCTCGCGTTCTGCGGCTGCGTGGGGGCGCTCAGGGAGAACACGTGCCTCCTGTACACGGTGAGCGCTCACCCGGACTCACCTCTAGACTCACCTATACACTCAATTATACACTCACGTGGTCTCCCGTGCCCCACATGTCCCCCCGTCTCCCCCATGTCTCCCGGGTTCCCGTGTCTATCCGTGCCCCCCCCCCCCTTGTCCCCGTGTCCCCCGTGTCTCCAGTTCACAGGGACACTCTGTGTGGTGTTCACGGCTCAGCTCGCCGCAGGGGTCATCGCCTTCATCTTTAAGACCAAGGTCGGTAAGACCCCCCTCGTAGCCAGCCCCCCCCCCCCATAGCCCCCCCTTGCAACCCCACCAAGTCACATACGCCCCCCCCCCCACATGCCCCCCCCCCCGATGACCCCCAAGTCACGTGCCCCCCGTGCTGAGTAGGTGCGAGCGCGCGTCACCGAGCTGGTGCACGCCGCCATCCAGGAGTACCGGGGAGACCACGACCTGCAGAACGCCATCGACTACATGCAGAGAGAGGTGGACTACAGATCATCATCACTTACACGACTGCAGCCTCACCTCATCGATACCACCACCTCCACTCCTCACTGCATCTCCCCACTTCCTGTCCCTCTCCCCCCCTACCCTTCTCTCCCCCCCCCCCCCCCCCCCAGTTCCTGTGCTGTGGGGCTCTGAGCCGCATGGACTGGAATCGGAGTCGGTACTTCCAGTGCTCCGCAGACAACCCGAGCCCCGAGCGCTGTGGGGTCCCCTACTCGTGCTGCGTGCCCATCCAGGGGGAGGTGAGGAGGCTCCAGGGTGGGGGGGTCAAAGGGGGGACGAAGGGGGCTCGGAGGTCACGCGTGGACCTCAGGAGTGGTGGCGACGTTGGTTCGGTGATGTGGTGTGGTGACCTCTGGTGGTGTGGATGACCTCTGACCTCTGGTGGTGGGTGACCTCTGGTGGTTTGGCTGACATCTGACCTCTGGTGGTGGGTGACCTCTGATGGTGTGGCTGCCCTCTGGTGGTGTGGGTGACCTCTGACCTCTGGTGGTGGGTGACCTCTGGTGGTGTGGCTGACATCTGACCTCTGGTGGTGTAGGTGACCTCTGACCTCTGGTAGTGGGTGACCTCTGGTGGTGGCTGCCCCTTCTGGTTGCTGCTGACCCTGGCGGTGTGTGCTAGCTCAGGTTGTGTGCTTGAGCACCAGGGGTGATGTGGCTCACTCCCCACTGGCGGTGCGTTTTTCCACCGGGTGGTAACGTTGTGCAGGTGGTGATGAACACCATGTGTGGCTATGGAGCCCAGTTGTTGCCGGACGGTAGCGGTGGTGGCGACGGCGGTGGTGGCATCGGTGGTGGTGGCAGCGGTGTTGTGGCCAGAGCCCCGGTGTTTACCGAGGGGTGCCTGGGCCGCGTGGAGCGGTGGGTCGACTCCAACCTCCTGCTGCTGCTGGGCCTCGCGTTCGGTCTCGCTGTGCTGCAGGTACCTCGCCACCGCCGTGCTCGTCGGCAGCTCTGCCGCTCGAACCTTCTCCTCCTCTTGGTAGCGGGGTAGCAGCGCCATCGGACCGGCTGTGCCACAGGTTCAACGTCATCGGCAGCAGTGACATCGACATCAAAGTCATCAGCAGCATCGTCAATATTATTACCATTGTCGTCAACAGCTGTGGCATCATCAGGGTCGTTACAGAAGAATCATCGTCAGCATTAGAAGCATCATCATCATCATCATCGTGGTCATTGTCATCGTCACTGTCACCAACATCACCATCAGCAGTATTATCATCAGCACCTCTTATACCGAGTTGCCTTGTGTGCTGCCCCTCGGCTACAGCTCCTCCACCCCGTCACTGCTCACCCCTTATGACTCTCGTATGTTCATCTCAGCCCCATCGCCTCTTGGTGCCCCACTCCCTCCTCGGGAGTCGATAAAAGTCGACAGTGGCTATCAAAGGGAGGGAGTAAGGTTAGAATTAATAAAGGGAAGGAATGTTAATAATATGGCTGCGGGGCCATATTATTCTCAGCACTGAATCTATGATACTGCTAATCCTGCATAATGCATGGGCATAATGACTTTAAACCCCTCGCCAAACCTCCTACGCATTTCACAAGTAGTACTAATCGCATATCTGCATTTCCTATAAATATGCTAAATTCCTCTTGATATGCAAATTATTTTGTCAAGACGATCTTCGCCCCTCCATCCCAGCATAAATAGTCGCTCCAAGCCTGGAGCGTGCCATTCAGACTCTGCCTTCTCGACAGACCTGTTCTACACCTGAGGACAGCTGCTTGCGTTGTGGCCGAAACGTCGTGAGAATTATTTTATTATGTCTTATTTATATTATTTTATTACTTCCCTTCTACGTGACTTTACCGAAAGAACCAAGAAGATATTGATGTAGTTTATATATATTTTTTACGTGATGGTTTGGCTGCTGCAGCTCCTTACTATTAAAATTTAACTCCCTTTATTACTGCTAATCCTACTTCCTCCCTTTATGACTGCTAATCCTACATAATACTCGAGCATAATATGACTTTGAGACCCCCCCCACCACCTACACATTCCAGAAGTAGTGACTAATCCCATATCTGCATTTTCCATAAATATGTTAAATTCCTCTGTTGATGTGTAAATTCCTTTGTCAAGGCGCTCTCCTCCTCTAACCCAGCTTAAATATACGCTACCAAGCTTGGTGGTGTTCATTCAGACGCTGTCTTTCCGACAGCCCTGTTCTTCACCTGAGGACGGCTGCTTGCGTTGTGGCCGAAACGTCAAGAGAATTGTATTTTATTATGTTTTATTTTTATTATTTTATTATTTTCCTTCTACATGGCTTTACCGAAAGAACCAAGCTTTAAATGTGGTTGGTTGTTTGACTTGCATCCCACTGGGATTTTTGCACAGAGCGTTGGTGTATGGTGCTTTTTCCTGGAAGATTTTTTGCTGTTTTTTCCTGGATTTTTATGTTTGCGCATAGTCACTTTAAGATATTTTATTGTTCATGTTTTTTGTTTGTTGCGGTTGCACCCGATTCAAGAGCCGAATGGCTCACGGGGCTACACCAAATAAATGATACTGAAAAACTGACTCGCGGAACCACCCACTCACTCATTCAACCACTCACCCACCCACCCACTCGCCACACTGCAGTTCACCTCGCTTCTCTTTCTGCATCTTCCCTTTCACTGCTCCACTCTGGAATCCCCTTCTCCTTCCATCATCATCATCGTCGTCCCCCCACCCACCCCCAAGTTCTCACAACAACAAAAACCTTGCTCAATGCAAGACACTTGTGTCCAGGCGCTCTTATCTCATACAACTTGGATAGCGCTGCTTGCTGCTGGCCGCTGGACGTTTCGGGACGTCGTGTCTCCCCGTCCCCCCGTGTCTCCCCGTCCCCCCTGAGTCTCCCCGTGTCCCGTGTCTTCGTGTGTTTTTCCGCGTCTTTGAGTGTCTCCTCGTGTGTCCTCAGCTCATCGGCATCAGCCTGGCTTGCGCGCTCATCGCCTACGTCAAGAGGCTGCAGCAACTGCAGCAGCAACAACTACAGCAGCAGCATCTGCAGCCGCAGGATATGAAGCTGATGATGGAGCAGGGGGACTTGTAGGTGACTCGTGCATCGCTCGTCAGGGCAGTGACGCAGCCCAGTGGTAGTGCACTCGCCGCTTGTGGGCAGAGGGTTTACACGGTTCGAATCCAGCGGCCACCCTGGTTAATACTCTGGGGTGGTATTAACCATTCACAGGAAAAACTCCACGCAAAATAACAGCTGCGATGGGGATCGAACCCGGGCCCTACTTGCTTACAATGCGACAACCTGGCACTCACATTAAGCCATCACCGCACCTCACCGCTACAAACGCGCTCTGTCTGCTCGATTCCCACAGCGAACTCCAAGATCCACCCTGATGGCCTACCTGCACCATCTGGCCTTAGATTCGCATTGTGACCCACACACTCGAACAGAGACCCATATAACTACCCTGACAGTCTCCCACACCGAAAGACTCATATAGGAACCTATAGAGAGACCCACAGGCTTGCTTTGCATGTATAGCAGATATCCTGTACGTTGCGATCATAGTCCCCTCCTGCGAACCATTTGGCAGAACCCTCCTGAAACTGTCTTGAGTATCGGTGAGGCTGTGCTGGGTAAACGAGGGTGATAATAATTGAGTGTAAAGTTTATTTGATTCGTTACACGGATGATCCCGTTTCGCCAGTTGCCCAGGTATGTTGCACGGGTGATCCGTGGTTCGTGAGAACAGTAGCAGGAGCAGCGAAGACAGAAGCATCGACATTGCAGACACGGGGGACACGGGGGATATTGCACCACTAACAAACGGGGCGCTTGACGGCCGCAAACGAAAGCGACAGCACACATCATACAATGAGAGCAGGACGCGCCAGGCAACGCGTGAGCGACGGGTACGAGTCTGCACCGCCGCCTTTTGGTTTCGTCGCAACATGAAGAGGGGGAGTTGAAGGGAGGGAACCGCGCTGTCGACGAGCAGCACGGGGATTCAGAAACGTGGAACAGCGACGCGAAACGTGTCCCCATGCTCGCGTCGTCGTCGTCGTGGCCGAGCCACTGCCGGTTCAAGTTCAATGCGGTGTTGTCGAGCCGCGTGTGTGCGCTCTCTAATGCAAGTGTTCCTGTTTATCGGCGTCATCCCCAGCATTCACCCACCCACCCACTCACCCACCCACCCATTTACCCATTAGACACAGGTTACACTCTTAATGACCTATTACTACTTTGATAGCGCTGTTTGTTACTGGTCATTTTTACGTTTCGGGCCTTTGGACCTACTGTTCTCAGCAGCTGTGTAAAACTACACTCTATATGTGAATAAATAACTTTTGTTTCGAATTAAAGCTTTCGTGACTGCAGGGATTCATCTTCTTGGTTCTTTCGGTAAAGTCACGTAGAAGGGAAGTAATAAAATAATAAAAATAAAACATAATAAAATAAGGAGGTGAAGGACAGGTCTGTCAGAGGACGGCTGCTTGCGTTGTGGCCGAAACGTCGTGAGAATTATTTAATGTTTTATTTTTATTATTTTATTATTTCCCTTCTACGTGACTTTACCGAAAGAACCAAGAAGAAAACAACTTTAGTGTTTTAGTGAATGCGCCTCGTGGCTGTCCTGAGCGATGCAGCAACCTGCTGAGGTCTCATCAGCAGAGCCAGGCTCGGGTCGTAAACCGGTAACCATTTGGAGAATCTGTTAAGTCTCGCACAGTAGAATGTTAATTAGGTAGACCGTACCCACTCTTTACCCCACCACATTTAACCGGTTACCGGTTTTGCCATAAACACCACGATTAGTAAAGCCCAACAGCTGACGTAAGGCGGTATGCAAATGAGCCACATAAATTATGTCAGCGAGTGACGTCACTCGCTGACAAGCCCCGCCCCCCCGCGCGCGTTGCCAATTTCCGGTTCGACGCAAAAAGCTGAAGGGCGACGCGATTCGATTCCACTTTGCAGTTCATGCGAGACAATCGATTCCCCTAAAGTATAAAATAAAGAATCGATTAGCGACGTTACAAATTACATCGAAGGAATCGATTCCTGCTGAGAAGCCGGCTCGAGGTTTGCGTCGGATAACGTGGGAGGCGATGGCGGATGACGAGGAGGAGGTGGACGAGGGGACGAGGTGGAGGCCCAAGCTCGTCCTTCACGTCGACCTCAACAACACGGTGGTGGTGGCCGATTCCGTGACGTCGCAGGGCCCAGAGGAGGCGCTCGCCAACTTCCTGCGCCTGCGGCTTGGTGAGGAGGCGGCCCGCCTGTGGCGAGGCGCCCGCCGTGGGGGCGTGGCCGCGCAGATGACGCAGGTTATGTTAATGACGCAGATTATGTTAATGACGCAGATTATGTTAATGACCCGTATACGGTATTGTGCGTTTCGGGCAACGGGCCTTCTCCGTAGTGGGTTTTAAGACGCAAGCTCCTCGACCGCGACGACACGGCAGCATCGATCATGGCGGAGGAGCGCCGTGTGGCCACAGCTCACGGCTGTGAACCCCTCGTCAGTGCCCCACCTCGTCACACACCAACTCGGACCTGGTCGGTCACCCTGTGCCCTCGTTACCTTGTTACCTTGTGCATCGCAACGTTCACCCGGCAAAGTCCCATCACAAGGGAGAAACGAACAAATCGTTTCACTCAATTTCGCCGCGTGGGTAGACGGGGTATACGAGTCGCCTCGTGCCGCACGGGGACAGCTGCCGCTGGGGGTGCCCGCATGGGGTTGCTGTTACCCCAAAGCGTGCGCGCTCGGTCAACTGAACCGTTGTGGGACGGATGGCCCCAACGTGTTGGTCGTGCCGCCTGCTGCGCCACGCGCTGTGATCGGGCAACGAGCGTGGAACAGACCGACTGGAAGGTGCGCAGAGAGGCGTGGGAGAGGCGCACCGTGGCAATGGCACCCAGAGACGGCCCCACTTGACTCATCCGAGCCGTGGTTGTGGCCCCCACCTTCCGCCTCCCATCCCTAACAGAGGAGGGGGAACCCCTGAGCAGTGACCCTGTGGTGGCCCCCCTGCTGGAGGAGTGGGGGGCCCTGGGGGGCACGGAGGCCGTGGTGAGGAGCGCGGTTAAACGGCTGGAGTGGAGTCACGGGGACGACCCCAAGCTCACCCTTCCCGGAGGTGCGGCGCTCACCCCTCCTGCTCACCCCTCCCGCTCACCCCTGCCGCTCACCCCTCCCGCTCACCACTGCCGCTCACCCCTCCCGCTCACCCCTCCCACTCGCCACTGCCGCTCACCCCTCGCGCTCAATGCTGCCGCTCACCCCTCCCGCTCACCCCTCCCGCTCACCCCTCTCGCTCACCCCTCCCGCTCACACCTCCTGCTCACCCCTCCCGCTCACCCCTCGCGCTCAATGCTGCCGCTCACCCCTCCCGCTCACCCCTCCCACTCACCCCTCGCGCTCACCCCTGGCGCTCACCCCTCCCACTCAATGCTGCCGCTCATCCCTGCTGCTCCCCCCCGCTCAAGCCTACTACTCGCCCCTCCCGTTCACCCCTGACCTCAAATAATTTCCCCTGACCCCCCGTCTCTCGCAGGCGGCGAGGGGGGGACCCGCCGACCCCGCGGCCGCCCGTGCCACCTGCTGCTGCCCGGCTTCCTGGAGCTGCTGTGCTGGCTTGCGCGCCGGCGCCCGGGCTTCGGCCTGGTGCTGCGCACGTTCGGCACCGACCTGGAGGCGGCGCTGGGCGCGGTGCGGCGCGCCCTCGACGGACACCACCCGGACTTCCCCCAGCTCGCCCAGCGGCGGGTGCGCTCACACGTGCGGCCGACTCCCGAACTCTGACCTTTGACACACTTCCCCGATTCGTAGCCGCCGTAACCCGCCTGATCTGCTGCCCCGTGTGCAGCGATTGAGTTCCCTTTGCCGTGAGCGACGAATGCACGGCTCGAAGTCTACGACGCCGACGGTGACCTCGCCGACGGTGACCTCGCCGACCCCCGAACTCGCCGACCTCACCACACTTCCTGACACCGACCCTCGTCCAGCCTCGACCTCCCTGAACTCGATCCCAATGTCGTTGCCACTATTCCCGACCCCTCCTGACCTCGTTAAATCTGACCACATACCCTCAATACCCAACCTCAATCCCGACCCCTGTGACCCCGACACTGTCCTCTGTGACCCCAATGCCTCCGACACCACAACCACCCTGACTCCTTGCCCTGACTCTTGCCACAGATTACTGCCCCCCCCCCCGCCACCGTTCCGTGCCCAACTCTGCCCGCCTGCCCCCTCCCGCCCCCCGTAGGTGGATGTGGCCGTGCAGGTGGGGAGCGTGTGCCCGGGCCCCCGGGGGGTGACTCTGAGCATGGAGGGGACGAGCGTAAACAGCTGGGAGGACGGGCGAGCTCCATACAGGGTCCTGTCGGCGCTCGTCGGCGTGCACGGACTGCAGGACGACTTCCGCTGGTACGCACTCCCCCATGCGCTCACCCGTGTACTCGCCAACACAGTCGTTAGATTTGCTCGCTCGCTCACCCGTGTACTCGCCAACTTGGCTCGCTCGCTCGCTCATAATTCGCTCACCTGGGTATGCACATTCACTCGCCCCGTCGCTCGCCAACGTCCACGCTCGTCCACGTGCTTGTTTGCCCAATCGCTGACTCCCCTGTCATCTACTCTCGCATATGGTCGCTCACTCACTGACTCTCTGGCCTAAGTACTCACTCACCGGCCTAAGTACTCACTCACTGACTCTCTGGTCGAAGCACTCACTCACTCGACGAGCGCTCTCCTGGTTGCTGTGTTGTTGTTGTTGTCGTCCAGTCTGCAGACAAGATCCTCTTTGTGGTTGTGGTCTCGGTTGCCATTGTAGTGGTGGTGTTGGCTGTGGTTGTTGGTGGTAGTGATTGTGGTGATTGTGATTTTGGTGATTGTGATTGCAGTGGTAGTGATTGTGGTTGTGGTTGCGGCGCAGGTGGGCGAGGCACGGTTTCACGAGCGAGGGGGGAAAGCCCCTGTGGGTGGACCCGTTTGACCCCAGCGTCCACCACATCTTCATCGACGACAACATCCGCCCCGATGACGGGAACACAATCGTCAACCCACAGGTGGGACATCACCATCACATTGCTACCATCACCAACAATAACACGATCGACATCACTCACTCACACCATCAACAACAACACGATCAATATCACTCACTCACACCATCAACAACAACACGATCGACATCATTCACTCCATCAACAACAATATCAACATCACTCACTCACACCATCACTAACAACACGATCAACATCACTCACTCACACCATCAACAACAACACGATCGACATCATTCACTCCATCAACAACAATATCAACATCACTCACACCATCACTAACAACACGATCAACATCACTCGCTCACACCATCAACAACAACAATATCAACATTACTCACTCACACCATCAACAACAACACGATCAACATCACTCACTCATACCATCCACAACAATATACACGGGTGCGCTCTTGCACGCTTTCCCGTGTACATTTGTCTGTTCATGCGCGTGCACGTGTACACGTGTGCGGAGAGCGGTGGCGCAGCGGTTAGCGCACTGCACTTCGAAGCTGGCGACCCGAGTTTGATTCCCGCTCACGGCCAACGCTGGTCACGTATATCTGGCCTGGTGCCGGGTCTCCCCCAGGTCGACTCGGCATCAAATGGGTACCCGGTTCCCTGCGTGTAAACATCGGCGCGGGTGGCGACCGCATTCCCCCGGACGATCCGTTGAAGGCGACGCGGCGGGGGGGGGATGATGGTTTTTCCCCTTTGCGTGCGGGCGCCGTGCGGGCGCCGTGCAGGTGTTTGCAGGGCCCGGCAGCGCGCGCTGCTCCCCGGTGCCCACCGCCTCGCTGCTCGGCGTCTGCCTGGTGCGCACCGACCTGCTGGCCGCCATCGTGGACCGCACCTGGTTCGTGCGGAGCGTGAAGGCCTGCGAGCACGCCCACGCTTGCTCCCTCCGGGCCCGGGGGGGCCCCGCGCCCCCCGTGACGACGGGGTGCCCGCTCCGCCCCCGCTCGCGGGGCGCCCCCCCCGTGGCGGACGAGGAAGAGCGCGTCGTGCGCGACTGCGCCAGGGGCCCCGTTTGACCCGGAGGGCGCGGGTGGGGGGACGGGGGCAGAGGGGGACGCGGCAGCGGCATCCACGCAGGGCGTGCGGTGGCGTGCGGAGTTCGTGGCGTGAGTGCGGTGAGTGGGGTGAGAGTGGTGAGTGGGATGATTGTGGTGAGTGCAGTGGGTGGTGTGAGTGCAGCGAGTATGTTGAGTGGTGCGAGTGGTGCGAGTGGGGTGAGTGCGGTGAGTGCGGTGAGTGCAGCGAGTATGTTGAGTGGTGCGAGTGGTGCGAGTGGGGTGAGTGCGGTGAGTGCGGTGAGTGCAGAGAGTATGTTGAGTGGTGCGAGTGGTGCGAGTGGGGTGAGTGCGGTGAGTGCGGTGAGTGGGCTGATTACGGTGGAGAGTTACTTACCTGAGGCGCCTCTGTTCTAATTTATTAAATCTCCGAACGTAGTGACTGTGTCTGGACTCTCCTACCTTGTGGCGGTGTTCGAGGCTGTGTGGATTCCAGGACCCTCGCCCAGGTGACCCTCGCCCAGGTGACCCTCACCCAGGCGACAGCAACTACCGCCCTTCGCCACTAAGTGGCGCCAATGTCCCACCGGCGATTTGTGAACCGGGGAGCTGCGCTCGCGACTCCCAGGCGTGCGCAACCATCATCGCGTCGTCGTCGTCTTGGTTCTTTCGGTAGAGTCACGGAGAAGGGAAATAATGAAAATAAAACATAATAAAATTACATTTATCACGACGTTTCGGCCACAACACAAGCAGCCGTCCTCAGGTGAAGAAACAGAGCTGTCGGAAAGACAGCGTCCTAATGAACACCCCCAAGCTTGGCAGCGTATATTTAAGCTGGTCGGGGGGATGAGAGCCCCTTGACAAAGGAGTTTACATATCAACAGCGGAATTAAGCATATTGATGGCAAATGCAGATATGGGATTAGTCACTCCTTGTGGAATGTGTAGGTGGTGGGGAGAGGTCTCAAAGTCATATTATGCTCGAGTATTATGTAGGATTAGCAGTGATCAAAGGGAGAAGTAGGATTGGCAGTAATAAAGGGAGGGGGGTTTTAATCGTAACCACTGCGTATCAAGCGCGTGCAACGTGTGGGCAACAAAGAAGGGAGGAGTTTCTAAAGAACTGCAAATGCCCAACTACCAGATGATACACCTGTGTGAAAAAATTAAATATAAACTACATCAATATGATCAATGTACTCAATAAGCTGAGCTATTAACATGAAGTAGCTGGGTATAAGCTACACTATATAATGACTACCATATAGTGAACCGATAAAAAAACTAAAATATACACTACATCAACATTGATGTTGTTTATCATCTGGTAGTTGGGCATTTGCAGTTCTTTAGAAACTCCTCCCTTCTTTGTTGATCACACAATGCACGAGCTTGACACTGCTAATCCTACTTCCTCCCTTTATCACAGCTAATCCTACATAATACTCGAGCATAATGTGACTTTGAGACCCCCCCCCCACCACCTACACATTTCACAAGGAGTGACTAATCCCATATCTGCATTTGCCATCAATATGCTTAATTTCTCTGTTGATATGTAAACTCCTTTGTCAAGGCGCTCTCCTCCCCACCAGCTTAAATATATGCTGCCAAGCTTGGCGGTGTTCATTAGAACGCTGTCTTTCCGACAGCTCTGTTTCTTCACCTGAGGACGGCTGCTTGTGTTGTGGCCGAAACGTCGTGATAAATGTAATTTTATTACGTTTGATTTTTATTTCCCTTCTACATGACTTTACCGAAAGAACCAAGAAGATGAATCCCTGCAGTCACGAAAGCTTTAGATCGAAATTTCATCGCGTCGTTCTTAATGAATCGTGAGCAGAGGGGTCAAGGACCCCAAATAGCATCAAGAATAACCAAAAGCCCTTGCCCCTTGATGGCATCATAGGTCTTGACCAGGTCGACAGAGAAGAGATGGAGGTCCTGTTGAAAGTCCATCGCACCTTTGAGCCACGGCTGCGATAAGCCTCTTCTTTCTCTGACAAAGACAAAAAATCCCCCGTTTCGCCTTTACAGACTGTAGGGGCAAGTGATGTTTGCGAGCACCTATTAAGGCCAGCATGGCACACGAGGGGGTGGGTTGCCAGCACCACGCCCGGCCACCTTTGTCTCCATCGCGGCGATGCTTGCTACACACCGCACCAAGTACTCATTTGAGAGCGAGTCGACCGAGAGGAGGCCCAGGACTGGTTCTGGTAATCGTCACTCGCGTTGGTAACTGTGAGCGGGAATCGAAATCAAATTGCTGGATTCGTAGCGCACGAACCGCCACGCCACCGCTCTCCAATTTCATTCTGCCACACGCACCTCCCAGGTGGGTCGGTGGGTTCACAATGGCCGTGTCGGAGGCAGCTGGCACTGCTGAGGGCATGAGTTCAAATCAGGGTTTCGCCCGCCCGTGGCGAGACCCGGTTCTGGAGTTCACCGAGCCGATGGACCCAGCCTCGTCACGACCCCCCCCCCCCCCCCCCCGTCGGTGGTGATACCGTGATCATCCAGCACTGTGGCGGCAGCAGCGAGGGTTGGTGAATCACCGCACGGATGTTGTGAAACTCCCTGTGGGTGGGCGTTGTGAAGCCACAGCCTAGCTCGCCAGGACAGCAAGTGGAATAATAATCGCCATCTGTTTCCATCTGTACGGTGATATAGTGTTATCCCTCTCACACGTTGGTTTTCTGCTGTAGCTCTGGTTTCCTCATATATAGAGAACCGCAGAGCTTGATGGGGGGGGGGGGGGGATTTCGCGCTGGCTCCTCACCGCGTGGCTGCTGCTGCTGCTGCTGCCTTCTCGTCTGGTTCCTCCTGGGTAGGGCGGCGCCCTACCCCTGTGGTGGCTGGGGGGTGAGTGGACTGGTGGTTGGCGGATGTTGCCACTTCACTGCTATCGGAGGCAATCGCTCCGGTGGTTGCTGACTCAGGAACGCGTCTCCTGGCAGCAGCAGGACTCGTGTTGCTTTTAACCTGTGGGAGGTGATTCATTTGGTCAAATGAAGGAAATATTTAACCCCCCCCCCCTTACGCACGTCCATCCGGTATGTGCCAAACCTCGGAAGCTAAGCAGGTTTCAGCCTGGACAGCGTTTGGCAGGGGCGACATGGAGAGGTGTGGTTGGGGATTGCGGGCAGCAGAGGGACAGGGCTGGTGAAGTATGATCAACGGTTCCTCGCTGCCCCTCAGGGCGGGAGGGGGGAGAGGTGCCCAGTCCAGCGGCGGATTGGCAGCGGGAGAGCAGCGCACGGGACTTGCAATCGAGAGATCGACGGATTGGTCCGATCTCCCGGCGCGGCAGTTGAAACAATGGGGGCGATTTCATTTAACTCCTCCCCACACCCCCGCCCCCCCCCCCACCTCTGTCCATAAAGCATGACCCAGCACACGGGTGTACACGGGTGTACTGTGCACACCATGCGTAGTGCGTAGTGTGTGATTGGCAGGTTGCGTGTGATGGAGTAAACAGTGGGTAGCTCCCACCTCTTTTTTCCGAGACGTGCGGCCAAGACTTGGAAGAGTAGGCCAAAAACACCCTTCACGAGAGGCTCTTTGTCTCTCTCCGGAGCGAACCCCCTGGCGGAGGAATCTTCCGCCAACAGTGGTGCGGGCGGGCAGTTGCAGAGCTGCGCCTTTATCAACTCGAACATGGATTTCAATGAAGCCCCCCGCCTTGCGCTCCCCACGACCCCCCCCCCCCACAACCACTCCCTCATTTCCCAGCCTCGGCCACGTAACGGCCTTGACGACACCCCGCGTCGTGCCACGGGGATGACACAACGCGGTTGTGTGGAGCATGACGAGGCATGTGTCAGCCACGCGCCACGCGCCGTGCCAAGCCGCTGGCGGGAAGTGCCCAGCATGGTCATCATCGTCACCACCACCACCGCCCAGTGATGGCATCAGGACTCGCGGATGTTACCTCATCAGCCCGTGGCATCTGCAACAACATTTTTACATCGCCCTTTTGAACCGATTTAAATGTTCTAGAAATCATCAGCAGGGGTGTGGCCTCTCAAGACAAATGCCATAACGCCGGGCTAAGCCGTGGTGTTACTCGCGAGTGCTCCCTCTCTCTCTCTCTGTCTCTCTCCCTGTCTCTCTCCCTGTCTCTCTGAAACACTCTGGGGCCATAATAGAGGTTGTTTGGATAATATGGCGTAAATATATAAATGTGTCATTAGACCCGCCACCACCTGACACAGCTGACTAGTAAGGGTTGTCACGTCAACAGCACGTGGCCTATTCGTCACTAGTACAGCACTAACCGGTGTGTTGGAGAGCCAAGCCACAACATTTACAATCTGAGTACGACGTTTTGCCAGTATTTACAACCTTGGGGCCACCCAATGAGCTCAGGGCAGCAAGGTACGGGACGACGTGCAGATCGAGACATGGTGAAGTGTGGGGTGATGGACCCGTATTCATCATCAAGTCGTGTACATCGGAAATGGCACCGTTACTATTTAGCATTTATAACGTGACCTGCCACGTACATCATCTCACAAGTTCGTAATGCAGGTGACACAGCCCTTACTGCAAAGGGCACAAACCTCGAGCACATTGCCAACGCGCTAACCGCTGATCTCACGTCATAGTTCATGGGCCCAGACCAAAAAAGTCACTTATTGGTACCACCTGAGGTGGCAAAGTATCGTCATGATTTTTGTCATCATCCATGTGTGTGGGACATATTCTAACAAAACCTTTGCGGAGTGGCAGCAGCTTAGTTGTCGTTGCCAAGACGTGTTTTCCCAGACCCTGTGACAGGCGTCCGGAACGATGAAATGGGCATTCTTCCTGAAGAACTACCTCGACCAAAGCAGTTGGGTCACTGGTCTCGATTGATCTAAATAGACATGAAAACACAGGATAATAGGAAATGCCATAGTGAGGTCAGGAACTACTTGAATATTATAAAATTGACATTCGCATATACTTCGTCAATGATACATGTAATCCCATATATATCGTTAGCGATGGGTATATGTGAAGGTTACATTATTATCAAGCTCTGCGTGTACTTAGATGGTGTTAACAAGGGTAACCAAGTCCAGAATCACCACACTGCATCAATGTATACTACAACTACCACAGTAATACCATCAGAATCACCACCCTGTGTCACTCATCAAACTGCTCGTCTATCTCGTCATCTGACTCCCCGAGTTCAAAGTCAGGTTATGGATCATCCTGCAGTGTTTGGTTACTGCAGGTCTGTAACCAGCACATGTCTGTGCATGTCAGTCCATTTGACAGGCACGTGCAGCTTGGCATTTTGCATGAACGCACACACTTGCATGCTAGCAGTTCCAAGACCACATCTGGTGCGGGTGGGGAGCGCACCCAGTAAATGGCCAGCTTGCCATCATCGTCTGTCCATCCATACCCAGTAGGGCTTGGCACCACAGGGTTCGCCTGCAGACAGCACTTCCAGATTGCTGCCTGATAGTTGGCTCATTGAACATTCATGAAGAGACTGTGTCTACATGGTGGCAGCTGGCGGGACTCGACTTCTCCCCTTTTGGTGCAGAAGAGCTGGTTGCGCAGTTCGTTCACCTCACCAGTGCTGCTGTTAGCAACGTACAGACGACAGGTGAACTGCTCAATTTTCTGGAACAGTTCATCACTCACATTCCATGACTGCCCCAGTCGACTAAAAGTCTCTTGGCAGGAAGTGTCCTTTCTCACCGTCTTCAGGCCATTCAGCCTCCCTCGACCAGCGAATGCACTGACAGTGTCGCAGCATGTGAAGGCGTGGAAGCTAATTCGGCTGTCACAGATGATGCTGTCTCCAAGTGACCTTGTCAGTTTGCTGATATCGACAAACCGCGTGCGGTTCTGTGTCCCACACTTCTGGTAGATGGGACAGGTGATGTCCATCTGGAAACCAAGACTTAGCACCATGACATCGGTGGCCTCAGCTGTGATGATAACTGCCTTTGAGCCCACATTTGCTGCATGCAATGCATGCAGGAGCAGACGGGTATCAGCTTCTTCATGCGTGGAGTACAGCTCTGCTACTTCCTCACACTCATCTTCCTCACAGGTCATGGACAACACCTTGCCATGCAGCATCTCTCTGTATCGTGGGAGTTTGCACTCTTCCACCAGAAACTTGATGAGACTGGTCTTGTTGGAGGGAGTGCACAGGAATCTTCTCCACTGCTGGACGAGGTGTCCCCCTGCGAGGTTCTTGTACTGGAGAGTGGTGTCTGCACCCCGGTTCAGTCGTTCAGCATCTTTGATCGAAGTCTGTCGGTAGACATCAAAAACAACATCAATCCTCTCAATCTGTGCCCGATCCATGGAAGGACAGGCCGCCCGTCCGAGGGCGAACAGAGCGCTGCGGAATGCCAGGGGCGACTCCGTGTCAAATAGGCGTGATTGCGATAGGTGCAAACACAGGTTTCCTGCGAGAAAAATCTAACGGCTGCTCATTTGGAAAGATTATCATGTTACTTCTGTTGGTGTAACAAATCAAATGGCACCATTGAAGTTTTGCCACCTTGGGTGGTACCGATGTCTGGTCTGGCCCAAGGACTATGACTGGAGGCATGTTTCCGACGCTGGAGACTGTCCAAATCTTTCTAACCCCTTGGTGGAGGAATCTTCTGCCAACAGTGGTGCGGGCGGGCAGTTGCAGAGCTGCGCCTTTATCAACTGGAACATGGATTTCAATGAAGCCCCCGGCCTTGCGCTCCCCACGACCCCCCCCCCCCACAACCACTCCCTCATTTCCCAGCCTCGGCCACGTAACGGCCTTGACGACACCCCGCGTCGTGCCACGGGGATGACACAACGCGGTTGTGTGGAGCATGACGAGGCATGTGTCAGCCACGCGCCACGCGCCGTGCCAAGCCGCTGGCGGGAAGTGCCCAGCATGGTCATCATCGTCACCACCACCACCGCCCAGTGATGGCATCAGGACTCGCGGATGTTACCTCATCAGCCCGTGGCATCTGCAACAACATTTTTACATCGCCCTTTTGAACCGATTTAAATGTTCTAGAAATCATCAGCAGGGGTGTGGCCTCTCAAGACAAATGCCATAACGCCGGGCTAAGCCGTGGTGTTACTCGCGAGTGCTCCCTGTCTCTCTCCCTGTCTCTCTCCCTGTCTCTCTCCCTGTCTCTCTCCCTGTCTCTCTCCCTTGTCTCTCTCCCTGTCTCTCTGAAACACTCTGGGGCCATAATAGAGGTTGTTTGGATAATATGGCGTAAATATATAAATGTGTCATTAGACCCGCCACCACCTGACACAGCTGACTAGTAAGGGTTGTCACGTCAACAGCACGTGGCCTATTCGTCACTAGTACAGCACTAACCGGTGTGTTGGAGAGCCAAGCCACAACATTTACAATCTGAGTACGACGTTTTGCCAGTATTTACAACCTTGGGGCCACCCAATGAGCTCAGGGCAGCAAGGTACGAGACGACGTGCAGATCGAGACATGGTGAAGTGTGGGGTGATGGACCCGTATTCATCATCAAGTCGTGTACATCGGAACTGGCACCGTCACTATTTAGCATTTATAACGTGACCTGCCACGTACATCATCTCACAAGTTCGTAATGCAGGTGACACAGCCCTTACTGCAAAGGGCACAAACCTCGAGAACATTGCCAACGCGCTAACAGCTGATATCACTTTACTGGAGGCATGTTTCCGACACTGGAGACTGATCAAATCTTTCCTAAACCACCTCAAGCGCCCTTCCACGTGAACAACTGCGCAGCAAACGCCACGCGTCATGTGTCCTCTGGTAGCCCAGTGCTCCCAGGCGATCTAGCGGTCATCATGGATCGGAGCCTGACCTTTAAACCCCACACAAAACATTCATGGTAGGACTAAATCCAGAGTCGGCCTGCTACAGCAGCTTGCAGGAACGACCCTGGGGGCGCCTGCTGCTCCACGCGGCCCCAGGAGCTCGCACGCAACAAAGAGACGCGACATGCACGACGACGTGACGCGCTGCGCATCACAGCCGCGAACACGGAGGCCAACACCGCGAACACCGAGGCCAACACCGCGAACACCGAGGCCAACATCGAGCCCCTGGCTCCCCGTTCTGGCGGACATTCTGCCAATATCGACGGGGACATGGCGCAAACTGCGAGGGAGTTGACAGGTTTTCTTGCCAACGACGACAACCACCACCTGCAACCATCATCAACCAAGACTTCAACATGAAACCTCGCCGCGAACGACTCACGTCCCGATCGCCCTTCTGTAGCGCGCTGTTGCGGTGACCCTCCTGGAATCCCACCCAGGTCCAAACCAATCGTAATCAGAATGTGTATTTATGCTGGAGGAATCCGATGAGCTATAAACCTCTTTTTCACAGATGTCCAGTCGGGGCGGGTAAGGACGTTACAACAACAAACAGTACAAGAAATATAAACAAATCACTCAACACACATACAAATAAAACTGAACCATCTTCATCCTACCAGGCATAGCCCACTGAGGTATTGACTGATTTTTCAAAAGCGACCTCGCCACAAATGAAAGCTCAACAATATGGTTTATCATTTTTAC